TTTCTAATAGCTGCAGCGACAATAGAGGGGTCAGGGACTTTCCTTGCACATGGCTGACTCTGGTTTAATCCCTAGCACTGCATATGGTACCCCAAACCAAGCCAGGAGTGAGCTCTGAACAGTTTCAGTTATGGCCCAAAACTCAAAAGTAAATAAATAATGGCTATTAATAGATCTTATTTTACAGGCCAAGACTCAGGCTCACTACATATTAGGCTGATCACTTCTTTTATTTTTTATTTATTTATTTATTTGCTTTTTTTGGGTCACACCCAGCGATGCATAGGGATTACTCCTTGCTCTGCCCTCAGGAATTGCTCCTGGTGGTGCTTGGAGGACCATTTGGGATGCTGGGAATCCAACCCTGGTCGGCTGTGTGCAAGGCAAATGCCCTATCCACTGTACTATAGCTTCAGCCCCTAGGCTGATCACTTCTGGCAGCGTTTAGGGGACCATGTGGTGCTGGGGATCAAACCAGAGTCAGGCATGTGTAAGGCAAGCACCTTAACCCCTGCAGTATCTCTTCAATTGAAACAATCTTTAGCTAGTTGGCCAACCTCTATGGAATGCTCCCATGAAAACAAGCTGTCTTGGCCTTTGAAGTGGAAATAGCAAAACATTTGAATGGGAGATACAGTCCTCTTTGGGGAGACATGTATTTATAGATAAGCAACAGATATTATTCTTGGATGTCTATGTCTTTAAAAAAAGAAACATTTAGTTGTGGCGGGTTGGAGTGATGTACAGCAGGTAGGGCGTTTACCTAGCATGTGCCCAACCCTGGTTCAATCTCTGATATCTTATATGATTACCCACGCACCACCAAGAATAATTCCTGAGTGCAAAACCAGGAATCCCCTGAGTATCATTGGGTGTAATCTCCCCTCAAAAAAATTTAGTTTGGGGGGCTAGAGCAGCAGGTAAGGCAGTTACCTTTCAGTCGGCTAATCTGGGTTTAATCTCAGCACCACATACAATCCACTGAGCCCCATCAGGAGTGATCCCAGAGCACAGAGACAGGAGTAAGCCCTGAGCACCCTGGGTGTGGTACCAACCCCCAAAATAATAAATAAAATCACTGTCAATGTTTTCTCGTTGTTCATCGATTTGCTCAAGCGGGCCCAGTAACATCTCCATTGTGACACTTCTTATTGTATTTGGCATATCGAAAAGGTCACAGGGAGCTTGCCAGGCTTTGCTGTGCAGGAGAGATACTCTCGGTGCTCACTTCGGCAGCACATATACTAAAATTGGAACAATACAGAGAATAAATAAAATAATAAATAAAATATTTATTTATTATAGTTTAAGTAAGATGGTTGCCATAGTATTAAAGGTTATGGTACTGGTGTACCCAAATCCATTCTTGCAGGGTCTCTTGTTACATTAATACTGGCTAGCTGCTGGCTGGTCTTTGTGTTCTGCATGTAAAATTTGTGTACAATGGAGACAGGAGCAATAATACAGCAGGTAGGGCACTTGCCTTACACGCAGCTGACCCAGATTCAATCCCCAGCATCCCATATGGTCCCCCAAGACCTCCAGGAGTGATTACTGAGTACAGAGTCAGGAACAAACCCTGAGCACTTCCAGGTGTGCCCCTTCCCCCCCAAAAAAAATTGGTGTGCAAAATGTAGATGATTATGAAGTTATAGTCATTTTTTGAGCACTTTAAGAACAAAGCTAGATCTGGAGTGATAGGACAGCGGGTAGGGCATTTGCCTTGCACCCCTGGCATCCCATATGGTCCTCCAAGCACTGCCAGGAGTAATTCCTGAGAGCAGAGCCAGGAGTAACTAGCCCCCGAGCATCACTGGGTGTGACCAAAAAAAAAAAAAAAGAAAAAGAAAATAAACTGTATTTTTTTAAAAAGAACATAGCTGAAGGACCTGATGTCCTGTGTCCAGGTCTTATGCTGATTCCTTGCTGTTTTTGTCCCTTGATGTCCCTTCTCCATAGTCCAAGTCCCCACTCCAGCTGTTTTTCAGGGGAAGCATATGTCACTGGTGCCTCTGCAAGCCAGACACGTATCCCAACCCTTCCAGCTATTACCCAGGTCCCAGATATTGGGGCTCTTTATTCCTTTCTCTATCTCTCTTTCTTTTTTCTTTCTTTCCTTCCTTCCTTCCCTCCCTCCCTTCCTCCCTCTTTCTCTCTCCCTTCCTCTTTTTCTTTCTCTCTCCCTCTTTCTCTTTCCCTCCCTCCCTCCCTCCCTCTTTTCCTTCCCTCCCCTTCCTCCCTTCCTTCCTTCCTTCCTTCCTTCCTTCCTTCCTTCCTTCCTTCCTTCCTTCCCTCTCTTTCTTTCTCTCTTTCTTCTTTCTTTCTTTCTTTCTTTCTTTCTTTCTTTCTTTCTTTCTTTCTTTCTTTCTTTCTTTCTTTCCTCCAGGCATCAAACCCAGGGCCTCACACATGCAATACAAGTTTCTCCCACTGAGCTATATACCTGGTCCCATGGCTTGGAACTTCTGTTTTGTTTTGGGAACCACACCCAGGGGGGCTTAGGGCTTACTCCTGGTTCTACACTCCTGGTGGTGCTTGAGGGATCATATGAGGTGCTAAGGATCAAACCTAGTAGGTCATAAGCAAGGCAAGTGCCCTGTCTGCTATACTATTGCTCCAGCCCTACCTTGGAACTTTTTATGATTCTAGGTGAAACCCCTCTTAAAAAGGAATTAAGGGCTGAACTTCACACTAAAACTGGCAAATTCATCTGGGCATGGGCTCTTGAGAAAATGAAGATTGTCCAGTTTCCTTCAGAGGCCAGGAACGTGGCTCTGGTAGAGTACACACTTTGTATGAGTGAGGCGCTGGGTTTAACCCTGCCCTAAAAAAATAACAACAACAACAACAACAACAAAAAGATAAATCAGGGAGATGGTTCAGAGTGTGAGTGCTCACTCTTGGAGCTCTGGGCTCAAGCCCCAGCTCTGCACGGTCCTTTGAATGCTATAGAGAGTGGCAGAATCTTTTATCAGGAATATTTACTTTTTTTCTTGCTTTCTCTTTTGTTTTGTTTGGGGGCCACACCTAGTAGTACTCAGGGGAGTTTACTGCTTATCTCCCTAGCCCAGGGATCCTAAGATTCAGGGATCAGGGCCAGGACAGCGCTCAAAGCTTTGCAGGTAGGAGCCCTGGGTTTCTGTTCCCATCACCACATGGTCCCTAGAGCACTGCCAAGAGCAATCCCTGAACACAGAGCCTAAAGGAGACACTGAACACTGCTGGGTATGGTCGAAAATCCCCAACTGCCCCCCTACCAAAAAAAAAATTATAAAACAAATGCATCAGAGCACAGAGCATATGTCAGGATTCCACAGAACATACACTCCAGTGACCTCATTTTGCCACCCGTCCTTTCTGAAACCCAACAGCTAGGACCTGGAGATGTGGGTGAGGTAGAAGAGCATATGCTTAGCATGTGCAAGGCCCTGAATTTGGTCCACAACTCTGCGTAGTTCCCTGGCACCTCTGCGTGTGACCCTGACCTCCTAGCACCAGACGGTAAGACCCCTTTATAAAAATAGGATTCAAAGGGCTGGAGACAGTTTTAAGGAGACAGTTCAGAACTTGCCTTGCATGCAGCTGGCTCAGTCCCCAGCATCCTGTATGGTCTCCTGAGCTCTGCCAGGAGTGATCCCTGAGCACAGAGCCAAGAGTAAGCCTTGAACATTGCCACGTGTAGGCCCAAAACCAAAAACAAGCTAAAACCCAGAAAAGGAAAACTCCAGTGAACTGCCCAGTGTCTGGAAAATAGCCACTCTCAGTACTGCCCCTTCCACATCTGGTCAAGCCTCTGAGCTAGCTCCCTTCGAGTCCACAATTTTTGCCCTTTTTTTTTTTTTTTGGCATGTGGGAGTTTGGGTCACACCTAACAGTGCTCAGCAGCTACTCCAGGATCACTCCCAGTGGTGCTCCAGGTGGTGTCTGAGAGCAAATCTGGTCTTCCGACCGCAAAACATGGGTCCAGCCCTTTAAGTTATCCCTCTAGCTCTAATAATGAGGGGAGAGGCAGACACGCATCTGCTTTCAACCTTACACGGCTGTAATAAAATAGGCCCAGACAGGAGGCGTGGCTGCCTTCTGGCCCAATGCCTCCTGGTCCAATTCTTGTAGAATTACCCAGGAATGTAGGGTCACACCCAAGGGCCTCCCTGCTTCTCCACCAATCACTTGTCCAAGACATCAGAGTCAGGTGCCAGCCCCAGAAACCAGCCCCCTTAGGCAGGAAAAGGCCATGGAGGAGTGGAATAGGTGACAGTCTGTGGGTCACCACAGGTCCTCACAACATACCCAGACCTGTTCGTCTGCAGCTTTAATGTGAAGGGGCCAAAATGATAGTATAGCAGGTAGGGTTGTATGTAGCCAACCTAGGTTCGATTCCCAGGACCCCAAGGGGTGAAACAACCATTATTATGTGTCAGCTAGTGATGTGTCAGTCAACTACAGACCAAATGTACTGCGGTGGTCCCAAAGGGCTAGAGGGTCTAGGTAGGTCGCAGGCAGTATTTAGAATCAGGTAATCAGACCCTAGGACGTTTGCACGGTGGATAGAGACATTTCCCAGACCCCCACTCCGAGCAGAGCCTCGCAGCTGCGAGGCACATCCCAGGAGCACAGCACTGCACTTCCACTTCCGCACCGCGAGCCTGCAGAGGCACGGGGTCTGTGGCACTTGTCCTCCTAGTCTGCAGATCCGGGCTGTCCCCAGTGGCTAGAAGATACAGTATCATCGCTGGGCGCACCGCTGAGTACAGCGCGGAGTAAGCGATCGATACATGTTAATTATTTATATTTCTGTGATTGTTCGGAGCGTTCCTGGGGCTGCAGGGCGGTACCCTCGCACTTGGTGGCTGAGGTCATCCCGAGGGCCAGGGGTGGGGGAGAACGAGGGGTGCGGAATAGCCCTGTCCGCTGCAGCCCTGCGGAGCGCGGAGGGGCAGGACAGTTCCAGGCCCCGCCCCGCTGGCCTTTAAAACAGGCGCCGTCTCTGCCTTCCGCCCGTGAGCCCTCCCCCTGCGCGTACATGGACGCGGCCGACCCCCAGCGCGAGCCCCGCGCGGCTGCGCGCTGCCGGGCCCCCGTGGAGCCGCTCGTCTTCCTCGCCAACTTCGCCTTGGTCCTGCAGGGCCCGCTCACCACGCAGTACCTGTGGCACCGCTTCAGTACCGATCTGGGCTACAATGGCACCCGCGACCGGGGCGGCTGCGGCAACCACAGCGCGGACCCCACCATGCAGGTAGCGGGGGGCGGGGGGGGGGGGTAGGCGGACCCTAGGCTCAAGCGTTTGCACGGAATGGCAGGGCGCACCCGAGCGCGAACTGGGCGTCGGGGAATCCCAGGGGAAAGTGCCGGATGGGAGACCCCAAACTTGCACGAGCTCCGGACCGCATGCACCCCGTTTGCTGAGAATTGCAGCAGGACTGAACTCTGCCAGAGATACCTCGGATTCATTACACGAGTGACTCTGAGTTAATTTTTGGCTATTGAACTTTTAGCAACTTTTTACTATGCCAATTTTTTTTCTATGTCCCCCCCTCCCCCAATTTGGTTATGCGATCCCTTATACAGATCCACCCACAGTTTTAGAAACTAAGGCAGATGGATTTGGGGGACGGACACCAAGAGCTAGAGGGGTTAAGGCATTCATCATGCATGCAGCTGACCCCAGAGCTACCCCAGTATTGGGGGCAGTGACCCTATCCTAACACCCACAGGATTGCCCAACCCCCAAGATAAAAAAAAAAAAAAAACACAGGGACTAAATAAAACAAAACCTTGAGAGTTACCCATAGACAAAGTAAAGTGTGAGTTACTGATCCGTTTCCCACGATGCACCCTGGTGTTAACTTTATAGAGTTACCCTGAAATTCTCTCCATTTAGGGTTCCAGAGAGTGTGTCTGTATCCCAGGATGGTGGGGGTCTGGGGGGTGGGCAGCTCAGAGGGAGGAACTGCACCCTGGTAAAATTTCTATCCTCACAGGAAGTGGAGACCCTTACTTCCCACTGGACCCTCTACATGAACCTGGGCGGCTTCCTGGTGGGGATCTTCTCCTCCACATTGCTGGGCGCCTGGAGTGATCGTGTGGGCCGCCGCCCACTGCTGGTGCTGGCCTCCTTCGGCCTGCTGCTCCAGGCCCTGCTGTCTATCCTCGTGGTGCAGCTGGAGCTCCATGTTGGCTTCTTCGTGCTGGGCCGCATCGTGTGCGCCCTTTTTGGTGACTTCGGCGGCCTCCTGGCTGCTAGCTTTGCCTCCGTGGCCGATGTCAGCTCCAGCCGCACCCGTACCATCCGCATGGCCCTGCTAGAAGCATGCATCGGGGTGGCGGGGATGCTGGCCAGCCTGCTTGGAGGCCACTGGCTCCGGGCGCAGGGTTATGCCAACCCTTTCTGGCTGGCCTTGGCCCTGCTGATAGCCATGACGTTGTACGCAGCGTTCTGCTTTGGCGAGACCGTGAAGGAGCCCACATCAGCTCAGCTCTTCACGCTCCGTCACCATCGATCCATTGTTCAGCTCTACGTGACTCCAGGTCCGGGCAAGTCCAGGAAGCACTTAGCCCTGTACTCGCTGGCCATCTTCGTGGTGATCACGGTGCACTTCGGGGCGCAGGACATCCTGACCCTCTATGAGCTGAGTGCGCCCCTCTGCTGGGACTCCAAGCTGATTGGCTATGGATCTGCGGCGCAGCACGTCACCTACCTCACCAGCCTGGTGGGCCTGCGACTTCTGCAGTGCTTCCTGGCCGACACGTGGGTGGCTGAGATTGGCCTGGCCTTCAACATCCTGGGGATGGTGGTCTTTGCCTTTGCCACAATCACGCCCCTCATGTTCACAGGTAAAGAGTGTGGGCTCAGAGTTTCTCCTGAAGGAGCTTGGTGAAAATTGGGGGGCAGCCACTTACTACCTACAAATGGGGTTTGTACCTGAACCTTTCTTTGGGAACATCATACTTCCAGCATCAGAGGACAGACAATTAAGAATCCTCATAAAAAATGCCATCTTTGGGGCAGGAAAAATAATACAGTGGATAGGGCATTTGCCTTGCACACAGCTAACCTGCGTTTGATCTGGCATCCCATATGATGCTCTGAGCATTGCCAGGAGTAATTTCTGAGTGCAGAGCCAGGAGTAACCCCTGAGCATCACTGGGTATGACCCAAAAAGCGCCCTCCCCCCGCAAAAAAAAGCCATCTTTGTTGTCCGAGTGATGGTACAACTGCACATTGTTTGCCTTGCACATAGCCGACCTGGGTTCAATCCCCAGCATCCCATGTGGTCCCCCAAGCACTGCTAGGACTGATTCCTGAACACAGAGGCAGGAGTAAGCCCTGAGCTGGGCCAGTGGTGTGGCACAAAACAAATAAACAAAAAGATTGGTTCTTTTATAACCAGTCATTCTGCATTATCAGTCATAAATGTTAGTAAGAGAGCAAAAGACACAAGTATGGCTCATACACTAATGGCTTCACTCCTTGGCCTCCCAAAGCGTGTGTTCAGGATGTTCTTAAACAAAGTCCGTGCCATTAATGCCCAATGCTCACTTTTCCGATAAGTGTCATAGGACCTCCCTCAAATATCCCTGATCAGCTTCTTGGTTGTTTTTTTTTGTTTGTTTGTTTTTTCCTGTTCACTTGTTTGATTTTGGTTTTTGGACCACAACTGGCAGAGCTCAGTGATCACTTCTGGCAGTGCCCGGAACCAAACCTGGGTTGGTTGCTTGTACTATCTCTCCAGCAGAGTTTAAAAATTCATCTTCTCAAACCATAGCTCTCAAATCCCTACTTTAGTTCCTCCTTTTCTTTGGTGAGAAGGGTGTGAGAGACTAAAAGGGAAGTTAAATGTTTGGCTTGGGGGCCATACCCATCTGTGTTCTGGCCTTACTCCTGACTTACTCCTGACTCTGTTTTCAGGGTGGGCTTCTGGTGGGCTCAGGGGACCATCTGGAGTGCCAGGGGTGGAATCTGAGTCAACTGCCCACAAGACAAATTCCCTATTTGCTATACTATTGAAATGCCCAGGAAATTAAATTTTTTTTAACAACAGATGGGGGGGGGGGGTGTTAGGGCACACCCAGTGATGCTTAGGCTCTTCACTCAGGAATCATGCCTGGAAGTGCTCGGGGGACCATATGGGGCTCTGGGGATCAAACTCAGGTCAGCCACATGCAAGGCAAGTCCTCTCCCTGTTAAACTATCACTCCAGCCCCTTAAGGGACAGTTTTATTTTGACAGAGTCCTAGTCAGCTTGGTACAGTGAACCTGTGATTCTCAAATCACAGATTTTTGTGGGGAGGTGCAGTGTTTTGGTTCATACCCAGTGGTGCTTAGAGCTCCTTCCTGACTGCTCAGGGATCACTGCTGACCAGGCTTGGGGGTGCCAGAGAGCGAACCCAGGCTTCCTACTCACTGTACAATCTCTCTGGCCCCACAGTCACAGATTTCTCAACTGCTTGCTTGGACAGAGAAGCTAAAAGGGACAAAATACCTTTCTCTGTCACCACAACATCTCTCATTGGTTTTAGATTCAGTTCCAACTTATGGGGGGCTATGATTTTCCTAGATACCCTCAGCAGGCAGAGATTGGAACTTGTCGCCTGAAAGGGCCTTGAGGTCCTCAAAAAAGACCCACTTGGGAAGATCCACCATCCTCTTACGTTTTGGTGGTTCTGGGGATAGAACCCGGTGCCTCACACATGGAAGGCATCAGTTCTGCCACTGCATCACCCCCACGTCCCCTGCGCCCGGCCCAGAGCTCTGGAAGAGGGTGGTTTGACTGAGGAGACAGTGGTCAGTTCTGAAGGCATTGGGCAAGAAGCAATGTCTGTGCGCACCTACCTGACACACGGGGAGAGACTCCGACTCAGACGCGCGTTTCCTGCTGTCTCTCGGAGTCTGTCTCGTCAAGCGGATCAAATGCCCACACACCAGGCAGCCTCAGACCCAAGGAGAGTGTTTCCTCACCCTTCTGAGGGCCACCCCCCAGTCAGCAGAGCCACGGTATGAGCCAGCCCAAGCTTCCTTGTGGACACTCAGAGGGGCCCAGCTGTCCCCCTGCCTGGGCTCGTCTCAGAGTCTCCTGCCTGCAGGGTTGCGTTGCCCCCTCCTCTGCCTCCTCCTTGCTGTCTGGGTCGGCTCTGCCCCCACTTCCCTCTCACATGGGCTCTTGGGCTCTTGTGTTGGCACGGAAGGCCCCATCTCCCCGTGCAGGTTCCTGAGCTTAATCCCTTCCACAGAGCCATTGTGCAAATAAGGCAACATCTGCAGGTTGCAGGGATTCGGAATTGATATCTTGGGCATGGGGGACACTCCAGCCCACTGCAGCTGCAGACCATGCTATGGTGAAGACATTTTATTTATTTAGGCTGGGGATAGGGTTTGAGCCATACCCAGCGTTGCTCAGGGCTTACTCCTGGCTCTGTACTCAGGAATCACTCCTGGAGCCAGAGCTGTAGTACAGCAGGTAGGGTGTTTGCCTTGCACACAGCTAACCTGGGTTCAGTCCCCATCATCACATATGGTTCCCCGAACACTTGCAGGAGTGATTCCTGAGTGGAGAGCCAGGAGTAACCCCTTAGCATCGCTGGGTGTGATACAAAAAGCAAAAAACAAATCTCAAGGAATCACTCCTGGTGGGGTTCGGGGGACCATAAAGGATGCTGGGGATCGTGTCACATGCAGAGCAAATGCCCCTTACCTGCTGTGTATTGCCCCAGCCTTTGATGAAGATGTTTTATAGACAGGGGCGTCCCCAGGAAGGGAAGTGTCTATAGTCCCTGTGATGGCATTTAGTTTTTGAACTCAGCGGCGACTGCAAGGCCCAGGTTCATTTTCTGTCCTCTGCCATATCCAAGCCAAGGACTCGGTAAGTGAGGGACAGGACACGAGTGAGAGTGAGCTCGGAAGTAACCGAGTAGGCCCAGCTTTGAGGAGGTTGCTGTCCACTCCCCCTGGATCTGCATCGTCTCCATGACCTGGGCGGAAGTGTTTCCTGCATTGGCCTGGAGAGTAGCAGCGGCCTGCAGGGGGTCCTTGACCTCCCAGCCCCCTCCCAGCCCCTCTCCCCTCATGGTGCTTTTCTCCCACAGGGTATGGGCTCCTCTTCCTGTCCTTGGTCATCACACCAATCCTGCGGGCCAAACTCTCCAAGCTGGTGAGCAAGTCTGAGCACGGTGAGTGTCAGGAGCCACGTGGCACTGGGTTCCATGCACTCCGGGCCGTGGGCAGTTGTGAACTGGGCCACCCCTTAACAGCCTGGAGAAGGGAGCAGCTATGACAGGGCGTGGCTCTGAGAACATCACAGTGTTGGGTCTTTTCTTTTGTTACTTTTTGAGTAATGCTCAGGGGTAACTTCTGGCAGTGCACTCAGGAAGTAGTCCTTGAGATGCTCGGGGAACCATATGGGATGTCGGGAATCAAACCCCAGTCAGTCGGGTGCTTGGCAAGCACCTTCCCCACTATACTATTGCTTCGACCCCCACAGTATTAGGTCTTAGACCTGAGTTAGAAGTTGCGGTCGGCAGAGCCTGACTTTGTTCTTCTGCATCATACAGACAGAGAACTTCCTCTTTTCGGACCTCTGCGTTTCCATCTGTAAAATGGATGTGATGAGGCCATTGTTCCCTGCTGCCCTGGTCCTCCATGTCTATAAGCCCCAAGAACAGGAGCAACCATGGGGGTGTCGGTGTTTGCTTGTTTGTTTCTAATTTTGAGGGAGAATGAATCATACCTATGGATTCTCCAGGCCTATTCCTGACTCTGTACTCAGGGGACCCTATGGGATGTCAAACTTAGGGTCAGCCTCATGCAAGATAAATGCCTAAGCCCCTGTTTTATCTCTCTGGCCCTCAGGTTTGCTTTGGGCAGTAGCCTTGGGATCTGGGCATTTTTCCAGGTTCTGTCACCCCTGACCTGTGCGTGGTACCTTGAACAGTTATTTTCCTGCTCTGGGGCTGTTTTCTCATCTAATCTCTCTCTCTCGCTTTCGCTCTCGCTCTCGCTTTCTCTCTCTTATTTTTGGGGCCACACCCAGTGATGCTCAGAGGTTACTCCTGGCACTATGCTCAGGAATCACTCCTGGCAGTGCTTGGAAGATCATACAGGATGCCAGGGATCAAATCCAGGTCATCTGCGTGCAAGGCAAGCATCCTCCTCATTGTTCTATCGCTCCTGCCTCAGTGACGTATTTGCTCTCAGACACAGCTGCAACCCCCTCCAGCTTCGACAACCTGCTGACTTCCATCTCAGCTTCTGCTCGGTGGTTGCTCTGTTTTCAGAACTTGGGTTCTTGCAGGCAGATCATATAGAATAGCTTCATGCCATATACCTCCAGTTCCCCCGCCCCATCTGCCATAGATGGAGGATATGATGATGACAGACACTGGAGCCACCATGGGTTCCATTGTCCTTAGAACCCCTGTAGCCTGAGTCACTCAGTTCCAAGTTGTCTCTGGCATCTTCACTATGCCCAGAGAGGCCAGGGGAACAGGAGAGAAGAACAGCCTTTATTAACTGGTTCCCTCTCGAGGGTCAGGCTCTGTGGTCGGTGCTTTCCACACCAGCTAAAGTTATCAAGAGCTTATGAAATAGGAACTCTCTGTATTTAGCGACGTTGGCTATAGCCCTGGTGGCCCCTGGCACTGCTGGGAAAACCCAGAACAAAACAAAAGCAAATGAGAGAGAGAAGAAAGTGAAAAATCTCTCTCCAGCCCGGGTAGCCATTGAGTTGTAGCACCACAGGCCAGGCGCTTTCTATCTCTGATCTCATTAGAGCCATACAACTGCGCACAGGTGCTGTGATAGGATTGACCACTGAGAGAGGGAAGATTCAGAGAGGTTTGGTATCATGCCCCAGGCCACACAGCTGCAAGGTGGTGGTGCAGGATTTGAACCTGGGTCTTTCGAACTCCAGCTTGTGGCATTGGTGTCTTCACAGGTGCTCTCTTCTCTGCCGTGGCCTGCGTGAATGGCCTGGCCATGCTGATGGCCTCCGGCATCTTCAACTCCCTCTACCCAGCCACCCTGAACTTCATGAAGGGGTTCCCCTTCCTCCTCGGAGCTGGCCTTCTTGTCATCCCAGCAGTTCTGATTGGGTAATGCAGGGTGTTGACCCTCGGCTCATAAAGGAGTCCCTTTCCCTAAAGGAATCCACCCCCTCACCTCCCCCAGCCCCTGTTCCAGCCCCACCCGACCTCTCCTATCACTGGTGATTGCCGACCCTCTACGGGCCATTCCCAGGGACAGGCATAGGGGTGGGTGTGGGAAGAAGCAGCCCCACGCTCGTCTTACAGACTTGTCCTCTCGCCCCCAGCTGCCCTTGGTCCTCTGCCTTCCCATTTGAAAGGTGGACCTGTGGTGGCAGAAATGCACTAACGGGCAGCTTAGGATGCTCCCTTCATGGCTGCTAACACACAGGCAGGCCCGACCGCCTGCCTTCTCCCTGCCAGCCTCAGTCATGTGATAGAGCTGTCTCTGGACACCATCTCCCACCTCTGTGCCCAAGAGTAGCCTGTGTCATTCTCTGAGAGGTGAAGGGACCCCACCCCGTCCTGTCACATCTGAAGCCTCTCTCTGCTCTCTTACAGGATTCTGGAAAAGGCTCCTCCCACTTCTGACTTCCAGAACTTCTCCTAAGAGCCCCTGATCTGCCTGGGTCAGGAAACAGGGGGCAGGAGGAGCCAAGGGAGCCCAAACCAAGCAGAAGGCCATGCCTGGGACCCCCACAGCTACCCGCTCCCCCAGAGCAGCACTCACGGTCAGGTTAGACCAAGACCAAGATCCTCCCCCACTTCATCCTCAGCCATGCCAGCCTAAGATCCCAGAATCTAAGACTGAATTCCGGGCAGGTCCACTCCAGAAAGGCAGGGGTGGCGGGGGAGGTGCCTTAGGAGAGGGGCCTGTTTCCTCCCATCAGTCTGAGCCCTTTAGATGCATCAGGGAGGAAGAGGCCTGGATAGGGTAATGCATGGTGGGGGTGGGGGTGGGGGTGGGGGAGAAGCCACGTCTCCCTCCTGAAGGATGACAGCCCCTGGTGGCCAGCCTTGGGAGCGCCTGCTGCCCTGGAGCAGGAGAGCTGCTGTCCCTGGTGAGGAGTCCATTCTTGCCTAGGGCCCACCCACGCCTGGGCTCCCAGTGCCAATCATCCTAATAAATCAGTATGATCTCATGGAAACAAACGTTTCAATTCCCAGGGCAGCTGTGTGGCCCAGTGTTTTGTCGTGTCTGCAGACTCTAGCTGCTGGGCGGGAGGGCCTGAGCTATCCCTGGCACGGGTGCTGGGTGTGGCCAGCTTGGCCCGAGACTGTTGTCCACTGTCCGCTGAGCTTCTGGGAAACAAAGGGCTTGAGGCCTTCCATCAGGCCTGCACAGGGTCCTTGTGAGTCATTCCTGATGGTCAAAGGTTCGCTCCCCGGGGACACCAGGACTGGTCTTCTGAACTAGACCGATGCCAGCAAAGCCTGTGTTTGTTGACCACTGGGCCGTCTGACACTGCCTATTTGGGGCAGTAAAGCAGAGCCAGGGGCTGAACTCTGCCTCATGCCTGTGGTGGTCAAGGAGAGCCTAGAGGCCGACTCAGCTCCCCTTGTGATTCAGGGGACCCAATTCCCCAGGACATGGGGGACCCCTTCCTGGAGCCCCAGGAAGTTTGGGGCCTGAAACTGAAAGGCAGAACTGGATTTTTAATACTGAGGCCCTGGCTTCAAGGAGGGTCTTGCACCCCTAAGCAGACCCCCAAGCAGCGGCCTTCGACTCTTTAAACCAGAACCATCCACAGGGCGTGGGCCCCGCTGCCAATCCTAGCCCCATCCCTGCCAACCAGTGTCTAGCTAGAAATCCCTATGACAAAATGGGGTGGCCCAGGGCTAACCAGGCTCTGGAGAGCTGTGTTTTCAGGCTCCTGTGTCACTGTCCCTCTTGTCACTGGAAACCTAAGCATGGAGAGGACTGGGTCAACCCCCAGGTGAGGAGGGTAGGGTGATCCAGCAGGATTATCTGGACAATGTCTCAGGCTTGTATGACATGGGGCAGGACCTTAGGTCAGCCATGCCGCCAAATGGGTTCTGGCCAGACAACTCAAGAAAACTGGAGTAGATACATGATCTTTTTTATTTTGATTTATCTTGAGGGGCGGGGGGTCGCAGGGGATTCTCTAGCTTAATGCTCCAGGATCTCTGCTGGCTCTGCCTGGGACCATGAGGTGCTGGGGATGGAAACCCGGTTTTTGCGTGCGCAGCATGTGTTCAGCCCATTGAGTTCTGGACCCAGGAACTATTCTGAAATTCTTCTGATCTCATCCATTCTAGAATGAGCTGCCTCTCTTCACAGGCTGGACTTTTGGCCTGGGAATATCCATAAACATTTGTGAGCTGGTTTTATTTTTGTTGGGGGTGGGCATTATTCTCTGGGGAAAGATATTTTGGTTCCACATCTAGCAGTGTTTAAGAGACTTCTGGCCCTGAGGATCTCTGCTAGGGATGGGACCTGGGCCTCCTGCATGCCAAGCATCTCCCTTCCCCCCTGGGCAGTGCAATGAGATGAGCTAGTGACTTCACTCAGACGGCCAGAAAAGCCTGGCCCCATCTACGCCGCTCTTTAGGGGAAAGGTCCTTCACAGCTGAGGGGCAGGCCAGGTGACTAATGGGGTACTCCTGCTGTCATAACGGGTACCGGTTGGCTGCAGCCTGGACACCATCACAGCAAGGAAGGATGACCAGGGCATGGACCACTTTGGCTGCCCTGATGGGGCTTGAAGTGGGCTCTGGTTCTCTGGGGAGGCGGGAGGCAGGAGGAGGGGATGGCCAGCGTGAAGGCCACCATGTGGGCAGCAGTGGAGGGTGGTCACTTTCATCAGATCAAGAAATCAGTCAGGAGACCCTCTGAGGATGGCCCTGGGGCCTCAGGAGTGTGGGACTGATGTGGAGAAAGACACAGACGGCGGCCACGGGAGTTTTCAGCACACTGTTCCCACCTCTGCTCTGGACAGCCTCCTCTCTGCTCAGTCAGATCCAGCTCCTGGCCCCTGAGGCACCGTGTGGCACAAAGAAGGAGGAGCAAGTGCAGCCCAAGGCGAATTGTTGAGTTCCCCAAGAGCTGGGGTGACAGGCCAGCACCCATGGGAGCAGCTCTGGGAGCAGAGCCAACCCTGAGGCATGAGCCCTGATCAGGAGGGCAGTGACGGGCAGTTCCAGGCCCCCATTGCTGGAATCGGCTATGGGGCAGGTTCTAATAGAAAGGCTGTGGGGGAAGCACAGGGCATTATGCTGATTCCTGGGGCGCCTGGGCCAGCCTTGGTTGTGACGCCTGCCCCCTCCACCAGGTTCCTGGGGACAGGAGAGAGACCATGGTCACAGTGCAGCATGGCACAGCCGTGGGGCTGAGCCTCAGGACGGCGGCCCAGCAGCAGTGGTGGGGGAAGCACCAGGGGATGGCTGGACCCGGTGTCGGGGCACCTCCTCCAAGCTCTCAGAGCCCCAGTTCCTCCTCTGTCCAGTGGCGGGCGATGTCACTAGCTGGCACAGGTCTTGGTGGTGGCAGACACCATGCAGAGTGCCTGGTGATGGCAGAGGCTGGTGGCTTCGAGTCTCGCTACTTGGAGAGTCGCTCCTCGACCACCTGCACCAGCTCACCTGAGGGTGTGGGAAAAGGAGAACCTCAGACTTGAGCCATCGCTCCTGAATGGACTCTTTTATGGGGGGACGGGAAGAGTTTGGGGCCACACCCAGTGGTGCTCAGGAATCACTCCTGGAGGTGCTTGGAGGACCATGGGGTGCAGGATGTTGAACCCGGGCTTCCTACATGCTAAGCGTGCACTGCAGCCCTTGGGTTATCACCCCTACCCTGAGTGGACTTGGGAATATTCCCCCAGTGGTTGGGATGCACCCCCTTGTCTTTCCGGGCCTTCCCAGTGGATCTACAGTTTCTGCCCAGGAAGGGGGAGTGGGGGGGGACCAGCCAGGCTAAGAGATTAGGCCCCTGAGGCACCACACCAAGGCACGAGGCTAGGGTGTGTGACCCCCTCTGAGCTCCTGTCCCCGCCCCCCACCCAGGTCCAAGCAAGGGGCCCCCAGGTACCATGAGGGCGCAGAGCCAGCTACAGCGGTGGGCCCTCCAGAGACAGACAAGCTGAGCCTCTGAGACTGGATATGGCAGCAGGGTCACAGTCAGGAGGGCTGGGGGTAGCAGGGTGCAGGCCAGGTGACGAAGGCCACCTCATGCTTGCAGGCCCAGCCTGCAGGGCCAGGGCACAGCTGGCCTCCTGTACTGGCTGGTTCCAGGGCCAAAGGTCCTTGCTCAGCTGAGAAGTGCTACTGATGGCCTCAGGAAGTTGGCTGCAGCCAGGGCAGGGGAGGGGGCAAACCCACGTCTCCAGGGACCCTTCCAGGTCCTAGAAAACCTGGAGGCAATGCCATTGTCCAGCCATTGCCTGGCTTCCCTAACCTCTTCTGAGCATAAAGCAGCTGGGTGAGGGTGGACAGCCAGTTGCAGAGAGGGGGAGCCAGGTCTGAAAAGAGCCCGCTGTCTCCACCCAGAAGTGAGGGGGGAGGGCGAGAGGGACCATGGAAACAGGGTTCACAGCAGGGCTGGGGAGGTAGGGCTGGTTCAGGGGGGTCAGGGATGCAGCACCCTCCAAACTGGTGTCAGAGCCTGCAGACGAGTCTCGGGAGGAGCGGCCCTGCAGGAAGCGGATGATCTTCTCGATCGTGGCCTCCTGGTACTCGTGGGACCACCTGCGGGCACAGAGACAGCTGGGTCAGAGGGCCAGACACTGAGAGCTGCCAGGGGCAGGGCGTTCCTACCCCCTTCTCACTTGATCCCGTTGAAAGTGAGCACGGCCTGCATATCTTCAGGCAGGGCCTGGGGCTCGGGCCACTCGAAGCCATCAATAACGGGCACGATGTTCTTGCCACAGCTCAGAGCTGTCACGATCTCCTACAGGAAGAGGGCGAGGGAAAGTGCTGGGTCCCCTCCTGGGACTTTGGGACCTGACAGCCAGGCTGAGTTCTGGGGGAGACTAACAATTGTCATTTTGTTGTTGTTGTTTTGGATTATCCCAGCGATGCTCAGGGGTTACTCCTGCATCTGCACTCAGCGATTATTCCTGGCAGTGCTTGGAGTTGCCAGGGATCAAACCCAGGTCAGTTGCATATAAGGCAAACATCCTACCTGCTGTACTATTGCTCCGGTCTCTTGAACACTTGAGACTTATCCCTCATCCCTTGAGAAGAAAAAAATATTGGGGGCCAGGGGATGGCCCAAAGGATCAGTGTTCACACATTACATGCAGAAAACCTGGAACCCACTCAGGCACCTCATGGTTTCCTGAGCACCACTCAGAGTGACCTCTGAGCAAGAAACCAGAATTTGTTTGTGCTCTGAAGCACCATCAGGTGTGGCCTGTAAACTAAAAAGAAATGAAAAATATGCATTTGCCATTGACCCATGTTTCTGACTCAGAGCACAGAACAGAGAACCCCTCAAGCTCTTGGAATTTCCAGATGGCAGGGGCTAGGGTTTGCCTAAGATGTGGCCTCATATCGGGACGGAGGCTGACACCCAGAAAGATGAAGCTTTAGCCACTTCCACATCCATCCCTCACACACGCACCCCAGGGAAGGAAGAGTCTGGAAGATATTCATCCAGCACTTGCCAATGACGGCCTCAGCCTCTGTGAGCACCCCCCAAATACAGGCCTGGGGGCTGAACACATGGAGGTGCTGGGCAGCTTCCTGCCTGGACCCCCCAAAATCACCTTCTGCAAAACTTCTCTCTGAATGTCTCTTTAACAGACTGTGATGTGGAAATGACAAGCTTTCCTGAGCTCCATGGTCATCGTAGAGCATTAGTGAGTGTGGGAACGGGGTGCTTCTGAATGTATCCCCACATCAGATGGTAGTGGGCAGCCCGGAAGGCGGGAACCATGGCCGGTGGCCCAAGTCTGACTTGCTGCGGTCATTTGTATCAGAACTGAAAGGTGGGATGCCTACTAGGTGCTGAAGAATGGGATAAATGTTCGTCACCAGAGGACACCCCTACAGACTTTGGTATCAGAAGAAAAACATACTTTCTCCATCAGATCAATGAGCCCTGCCACTCCTGCTTATTTCTCACAGCCCTGTTTATCTCTACCTCCAGTCACTATCACTCTTCTTTCATCAATCATCTTTAACCCCTCATTTTTTTTGGGGGGGGGAGTCACACATGGTAGTTCTCAGGGGCTACTCCCTGTTCAGTGCTCAGGGGACTGTGGAACCTCTGGCACCAGCCCTTAAACCATCTCCCGGCCTCTCACCTACTCTTGCCCCATCTGATTCATTCTCCACATTTCTCTATCTCCTCGCTACTCTAGGGAAACTGCAAATCTGATTATCTATCCTCTCTTTAATACTACAAGACTTGGGGCTGTAGGGCATTTGAGTGGGTAGGGCATTTGCGTTGCACACCGCCCACCTGGGTTCAATTCTAGGCAGCCCATAGATCCTTCAAGCCCCGCCAGGAGTAAAGCTTCAAGCCCCATAGATCCTTCAAGCCCCGCCACACCACTGGGTGTGGCCCCAAAACAAAAAAGACTTTACATGGTTCTTAGAATAAAGTTCAAACTCCATGTGTCTTACAAGGTCTTATGTGCCTGGCTATGGTCCACTCTCAAACTCCACCTCTGCATTGTCCTTCAGACTTGACACCCCTCAGATTTGGATCTGGGCCTGCACAGGACCTTTGCATGTGCTGTTTCCTCTGTCTACAGTGCTCTTCCCAGGGTCTTGGAGATAGTACATGGGTTAAGGTACTTTCTCTGCATTCAGCTGGCCATGAAATGAATCCCTGGCACCATATATGGTCCCCTGAGCACCACCAGGAGTAAGCTCTGTGCCTAGAGATGGAAATGTGAGCCCTGAGCATTGCCAAGTGTGGACAAAAGAAAAGGAAACCCAAACAAACAAATAAGTCAATCAATAATATCTAGCTAGCTGGCTAATGATGGATGGGTGGGTGGATGGATGGGAAAGGTAGATGGGTGGAAAAATGGATAGGTAGGTGGCAGATGGATGGATGGGTGGATGGATGGATAGGTGAATAGATGGATGGTTGAATGGACGCATGGGTGTTTTATTGGGTGTGTTGGTGAGTGATGGATGGGTAAGTAGAAGGATGGGTGGCTGGCTGGAACAACATGGTATAGCAGTTAGGAGTTGCGATCTGGGATTTTCAATTTGGGTAAAAATTGAGAGTCTCTGGCAAACACTCAGAATGAGCAAAAACATGGACTCTCAAAGTCTGTTTTCTGGTTTACAAAAATAGGGTCAAGAGGGCTGGAGAGATAGTATGGCAGTATGCTTGTCTTGCACACAGCTGACCTGGGTTCAATTTCCAGCACCACATGTGATCCCCTAAGCACAGCCAGGAGTAACTCCTGAGTGCAGAACCACTGAATACAACCAGATGTGGCGCCAAAACAAACAAAAAAAAGGGTCAATATATTTCCTATCATGTAGGATAGAATAATTGGCTATACCAATGGCAAGTGCATCACACATGGAAGTACATTTAATAATAAGATCCCCGGAGACAGAGTGATAGCACAGCAGGTAGAGCATTTGCCTTGCATGCATCCAACCCAGATTCGATTCCCAGCATCTCTTATGGTCCCCTGAACCTGCCAGGAATGGTTCCTGGGCACTGCTGGATGTGGCCCAGAAGCCAAAAACAAAACAAAAAAGAGTCCCTATTTCATCTGCTGTTGAGAGGGGATAACAAACCTTGCTCCCAGATTGTCCTGAGGATCCCACTTACTATCAATAGAAGCTCTGATAAGTGCTTATTGAGTGTTTTCTTCCTTTTGAGAAAGAAGCACACAGGCTGGGCTTTGTGGAGTGCAGTTCACTTGTGGTTTGCGGTATTGATTATGCACTAAATGTGGCTTCGGGGAAAGGAGTCTTAAAACCAGAGGCAATTAAGGACTAAAAACAACCCAGAAGGAATGATGGCGCCTTGGGACTGATCTAAGGCCAGGCTCCTCCTACCTCCTCCCTCCCTGCAGCCTACCAGAGAGCACTGGGTGCACAGCACACTTTAGGAGAGGAGTCTTCCCGGGGATAGCTCCTGCAACCTTCAATCCTTTCTGGAAGCTTCTCCACTTTATGAACCAGAAGAAGATAATACAGAGGGTAGGGCACTTGCCTTGCATGCAGTTAACCCAGGTTCAATTCTCTGCACCCCATATGGTCTCCTAAGCTCACCAGGAGTGATCCCAGAGCACAAAGCCTGGAGTAAAGCCCCAAGCACAGCCACATGTGGCTCAAAAGCAAAAAGGAAGGAACCCCAGGGAGAAAGTGCTTATTTTCAAGTGGGCATCCACAGACCCAGCCCTGAGTCTGAGGTCACCAAATGTGTTGAGGATCTGGATCAATTCTCACCTCGAGGTCACTTATTTGGGAACCTCTAGGCACTTACCCTATCTAGAATTACACGGTTCACTCAAGACCACTTGACTGGCAGAGAAGAAAAACCCGGGGACTAGGGAGCTAGTGTAGCTAATAAGACACTTGTCTTGCACCCAGCTGAGTGGAAGTTCAATCTCTGAGCCCTGCCAGGAGTGAGTGAACAGATCCAGGAGTAAGTCCTGAGCAAGCTGGGTGTGGCCGAAAAGCAAAAATAAATAAATATTTAGAGATTGAACTTCCATTGGCAAACCCAGACCCAGCTCTCCTCTCAGGAGGAGGAGGATGACAAAGAGGAGGAGGATGATTGGAGGAGGAAGGAGAAGGAGGAGAAGAGGGGAACAAGAGAAGGAGGGGGGAGGAGGAGTGGGAGGAAGGGGAGAGGAAAAGGGGGAGAAGGAGGAACCTGATTAGCATCAAGTCTTCTGACCTGGCACACCCAGTAGCCATGTATGACTCCCTGGCCTTGCCCCCTCAGAATAAAGCACCTGTGAAACCGCTGATTTGATTCTTTTTTTTTGTTTTGTTTTTTGATGGGGAGGGGGCAGTGGCAAACCCAGACCCAGCTCTGCTCTCAGGAATCACTACTGCAGTGGCTCAGGAAATTTTAAGGATGCCAGGGATCAAATTCAGGAAAGACACGTGCAAGGCAAGTGTCCTACCCATTTGTTGTACTATCACTCCGGCCCCTGATGCAATTATTCTACAAGTGTTTCTGAAACCTTTATGGGAGCATGAAGCAGAAGGAATCAGAGATGAAGGTGGAACTCACAGACACGTCTATTTGTCTTTCAGAGGGTTTGGTGTTTGTAATGGGTTGGGAGGGGGCACGCCCATGTGATGGGGACTCCTCCTTGCTCTGGGCTCTGAGGAAGCTTGGAGAACCAACTGATGCCAGCCATCAAACCGGGGCATCCTGCACGCATGGCACACGGTTACCCCTTGAGCTCTCTCTCTGGCCCTCCCATCTCTCAGAGGGCTGCCTGCCAGCCGCTGAGGGCCATCAGCCATGTTCCTCCAGCTGTCCCTCTGGCTCGGCACCTACCCTCTCCCAACATCAAGCTCAGTCCCAGCACCTCCTGAATGGCCCCTAAGGCCTGACCCTCTTCCTTACTGCCAGTCAGGAGAGCAGCTTTTCTGCTGCCTGAGGGCTGCTGCCCTCCCTCAGGACACCCTTTCCTCAAAGCATTGAGCTTTGTCTTCTCTCTGCCTTGGTCCACTCTGCAACCTCCCCCGCCTTGGCAGAGTTCTTCTCCAGCTGTTGGCACCCTGGCAAAGGTTTAACCACCATCTCTCCTGGCAGAGGGAGTGATGAACACGATCAAGGGCTCAAGGGCTATTCCCCGCTCTGTGCTCAGGAGTGACCCCTGGTGGTGCTCAGGGGACCACAGGCAGTGCCAAGGGTGGTAACTAGTTTTGGCTGCATTGCAAAGCAAGACCTGAAGCCCCATATTATTTCTCTGTCCCCAGCTTTCAAGTGTGGCCTTAAAAAAAATCCCTCTTTCCCAGGTCTCAGTTCTTTATCTGTAAGTTGAAGACACTCACACCGGTAACACGGTAACACGTGTAAGTGAGGGCATCCTTCTCAGCCCTGCACCTATTCCTTGTTCCCGGTCCCCTGTCTCAGATGTCTTCTCTTCCGTTTACCTATATTTTATGTGTGTGGAGCTGGGATGGAAGCCAGGGCCTCACATATGCAAAGTAGGTACTCTACCACCAAGCCACATCCCATGCCACCTAAGTTCCTTTTGCACGGGGGGTGGGGGGTGGAGGGTGGTGAAGTGAGAGGGGTAATCGAGTGACACTCAGAAATTCTCAGAGCTTACTCCTGGCTCAGTCCTTCGGGACCATTCCTGGTGGTCCCTGGGGAACCATATGTGGTGCCAGCAACTGCACAGTGCCAGCCCTGTGCAAGACAAATGCTCTATCTGCTATATTATCTCTCCATCCCACCACTTACATCCTTCCGTTTGGGAGTGGGGAGAATTGGGGAAACCACAGCCAACAGTGTTCAGGGTTTAGTCCTGGCTCTGTGCTCAGGGATCATCCCTGAGGGAGCTTGGAATATCATATAGGGTGCTGGGGAGCAAACCCAAATCAGTCATGTGCCAGGCAAACTCCCTACCCACTGCACTAGCTCTCTGGCCCAGCACCAAAATCTTTTCCTCATGGAGGAAACTCAAAAGTCCCATTTCCTCCATGGAGCCCTCCCTGCCTGTTCTAGCCCTCAATGTCTTCTCCTTTCTCCCTTCTCTTCTAGCAGCTTAGAGTAGCAGCTGCCTGACGACGCTGGCATCAACCTGTGAATCACCCAGTCACAAGGGGCACAGTCCTGTCTCTGTAGCTTCTGTAGGGCAGGGGTCCCATGTCGGAGGATTATTGTCTCTACTGGGGCCTCAGCTTCAGTTTCCATTCATTAATGATTAATAACTTGCAGATGTAATGCAGACCCATCCGTCCACAAAGGTTCACTAATTTTCTGCTACGTGTCAAGCACTTACAGTACAATGATGAATAAAACGGTAGCGGTACTCAGGGTGATTATATTAATAACGATAATATCCGCTACCACCATAGAGTAATTATTACATCACAGGCATTCTGCTAAGCACTTTACAATCTTTAAGGCTCTTTCAATCCTTATAAAAGTATCCCAGGCAGAGACTGGAAAGATAGTAGTGGATAGGATGCTTTCCATGCACACATTGAAATAGGTTTTATCCCTGGCCACCACATAGGGCCTCTTAAGCCTTACTTGAGCACAAACTTGGGAGTACGCCTTGAATGCCAGGAGTGACCCCAAAACAACAAAAATCCCAGGAAATAGTACTCCATGTATCTCACTTCTCTGTAATAAATACAAAGTTCCTTGGATTCCTACCCTCTTTGGTGTGGCTTTACACCCATCACCCCTCCATTATGTCCCAACTTCACCCCCTTTCCCCAAAGAGGTTATTGCTCTTCAAGGTACTGTCATCCCTCCCTGGCCCTCTCAGCAATCCTATAAGGCGAGTAGGACAAATTATTCCCATTTTGCAGATGAAAAAACTGAGGTTTGGTGTGCCTAAGTGACTTACTCAAGTCCCAACACAGAGCAGTGACTCTTGACTTCCTGATGGGGCCACAGAGGTCACTGAACTGTACCAGAGAGAAGGAACGGGAGGCGGACCTTGTCCCTGGGGCCACAGGCCAGGTGTGGGTGCAGAGGCCAGTGCCTACCTTGTGCACCCAGTCCTTGCATTCGTGGTCCTGCATGCACTTGTCCAGCGCCCCAGCCGAGAGCACCAGGACGAAGTTGCGGGCGCTTGTGACGCTCTGGATGAGCTTGTCCTCAAACTTGCCTGCTTCCAGCTTTTCCACGTCGATGAAAACGCTGAAGCCGTGCAGCTGCAGATGGACCTTCAGGAGGCTGCCAAGAGGCCCCAGGTCACTGCCAGGCCCACCCAGGGCCTCTGCTGCCTGCCTGCCCACTCCTCACCTGGCCAGCTGGGACCCTGAGTTCCTGCGGTAGCTGATGAAGACATCCGGGGTGTCCCCACTGGGCTTGCAGACGGTGCAGGGCAGCGGGGAGTGCAGCATTTCTGAGAAGGAGAAAAGGCTCGGTGAGGACAGGACCCCCCCCACTCGCTAGGAGGCACACCCCCTCTCCCTCCACCCCCATCCTGCTAGCAGCCCAGTCCAGGAAGCAGGGCTGGCTCCAGAAAGGCCACAGAAGGAGGTGGAAAGATGGGGCCTCCAAGAAGGAAGGGCTCAAAACAGACACCACACTCTCCCCCCACCCCACTTTCCCATGTCTTAACCCCATACTCTCTCCACCCCCTATTTATTGATGCTATATTATTATTATTACTGTTGTCGTAACTATACTAGCATGTGACAGGGATGAATGGAGATGTTACTGGCGCCTGCTTGAGCAAATCGATGAACAACGGGGTGATAGTGATGATGATGATGATGATGATGATGATTCTCCCAAGTGGTGCTCAGGCGGCAGAATTTATGGGGTGGGGAACACTTCTGGCGGTGCTCCACCAAGTGTACCAGATGAAAAGGGCCCCAACATGGGGTTCTGGGCGAGGTCCACCCAGAGGTGCAGGGGAGGGGTAGGTGGTAAGACCATGAAGAGCCAAGAACCAAAAACCGGGTGGGAGGGCGGAGCGATAGCACAGAGGGTAGAAGGCCATTTGCCTTCACATAGCTGACCCGGGTTCAATACCGCCACTATAAACGGTCGCCCAAACACTGCCAGAAGTGATCCCCTGAGCACAGAGCCAGGCATAAATCTTGAGCCCGCTGGGTGTGGCCCCCAAAAAACAAACAGACAAAAAAAATCCAAACTGGATGAGGCATGTGCATACCCCCTGTACAATGCCCCTCGCGCTGGGGGCTTCTAGGGCGGAAAGTGAAGAGAATTCATCAGCGCAGCTTCATTGCTCTGAGTTTGCCGCTTGGCGCTTGGCGCGTGCTCGCTCAGTCAGCACAAGGCGCTCGGGCCGGGAGCCCCGCCCCCCCACCCCGTCCAGGGCGTCCCCTCATTCCCGGGCCGCGCCGGCAGGCTGACCTCTGGCGGCCGCGAGGATACGGGTGCGGTGCACGCCCAGACGGATGCCGCAGTCCTCCAGGAGTTGTTGCTCCGACACGCGGTGCAGCAGGGAGCGGTCCAGGCCGCAGCTGACCAAGCCGTAGGTGTACTGGCGGAAGCGCGGGTCCAGGCTGCCCAGCCAATCGGCCAGGTTGCTGCGGTCACACGTGGCGTAGTTGGCAAAGGTCTTGAGTTCGGTCAGCTCCCGAAAGAATCTGTACCCCGGGAGGAGAGGCTGCTGAGGGAGGGACAGGGCAGTGGTGGAGGGGAGGAGAGGCAGAGGGGGAGACCTACCAGGCGCCCCAGGGCGGGATGCTCAGTACCTCTTGCGGGTGATGCCCGATTTCATGCCCAGGTCGGTTTGGAGTTCTTCCTCCGTGAGCCGCAGAAGCAGGTCCCCGTCCACTTGCTGCTCCTGTAGGACAGGTCAGCGGTCAGGCTGGGGTCTCTTCCTTAGCCCTTCCCCGCAGCACAAAACCAAGGGGAGGCTTGGAGATGGTGCTGGGCGAAGCAAACACACCCCAGATCAGATACTCAAACAGAGACTGAGTCCAGGCTTCCCACCCCCAAAGGCCATGGAGACGCGGCCAGTGGACCACGCACGAGAAGACACTCCTCCTGGCAGGGCATCCCTGGCGGCGGCTCCCTACCCGGAAGCTCTCGCAGTACTGTGCGAAGCCGATCTGCTGCAGCCACGTCTGGACCTCGGCCTCTTTCCAGCTGGCCACGCAGGGAACAATGGGCCGTGGCACCACCTCGCCCAGCAGGCGCAGCGCGCGCTTGGCCAGCGCTGAAGTGGTACCGTTGGTGGAGTAGGAGACCAGGCGTTTGAGGCTCTGGATGGCCCCGATGTCGCTGAACACCTGGTGGGGAGGAGAGGGATGTCTGGGATTCACCGGCCCCCCAACATCTCTCCCTTATGCTCACACTCCAACTCCCAGGTGCATCTTGCAAATCACCAAGGCCTGTGGCTTCCCCCCCCCCCCCCGCCCCCATGCACTTTCCCCTCCTCATCTCTCCAGACTTCACCTGGTTAGCTGAACTTGAGACCTGGCCACTGGGCTCTGCACAGTGGGATACCTCTTATTAGTGCCCACCTGGCTGGCACACCCACCAACAAACACTCTCCCATGGGGTGGTAGCAATAGTACAGTGGGTAGGGCACTTGTCTTGCATGCAGCTGACCTGGGTTTGATTCCCAGCATCCCATATGGACGCCTCCAAGCACCACCAGGAATACTTCCTGAGTGTAGAGCCAGGAGTTACTCCTGAGCATTTCCAGGTGTTCTCCAAAACCCCCTCCCCCTTCCCCCCCCCAAAAAAAAAAGACATTCCCACGTGGGCCTCTGCCCTTTATGTTCCCAGGCCCTTCCATATTCCAACCTGCTTGTCAAATCTTACTTATCCACCTAAATTCAAATGTATTACCACCTCCTCCATGCAACCTACTTTGATTTCCCCACAGACTTTGATTCCCACCCCCCATAGACTTGGGGGAAATATCTAATTAGACTTTGTACCAACTAACAAACACCATGGTCATTAGTTGAAATTGCAACTGGCACTGGACTATTAGTTGAGGTCATACATTAGTCACCCTGGAATTTCCTGATAATCTGAGGCAGAATGGGAACTCAAACTCTCTTTTTTTAGACCTACCCAACAGTGCTGAGAGGCTACTCCCAGGTCAGTGCTCAGGACTTATTCCTGGCAGTGCTCAAGATACCTTGCAGTATTGGGCTGAGTTGACCTGGTACCAAGAGGGGATGGTCCTCAGGTCTTGCACAAGCCAAGCATGTACTCCAGACCTTTGAGCCATCTCCCTAGCCCTCAAAAAGATCTTTTTTTTTTTTAACCTGGAAGGGTTGGGCAGTGCTCAGGGCTTACCCCGTCTCTGCACCCAGGGATCATTCCTGGCAGGGTTCAGGGGACCATTTGGGGTGCTGGTGATTTGGAACCTGGGTTGGTCGCATGCAAACTAAGTACCCTACCCTCTGTACTGATTCTCTAGTCCCCCTCAAAGTGTGTTTTTAAAACTGTACTCACTGGGCTAGCCTGCGCTGACGGTCTCGGCTGCTGTCCTCACCTCATTCTCGAAGTTCTCCCTCCTCTCCGCCCATTCTTCCCACTCACTCCCATCGCCCAAAGCAAAATGACCCGCTCTGTAAAGCTTCTCATCCCCAACAGGGGCATCCCCAGATTGTGCCTCAGCCTTTTACACCATTTCCCAACCATCTCCTTCCTGTCTTTATTTTGGAGGGGGCAGGGGGTCCCACCCAGCTGTGCTCATTGCCTACACCTGGCTCTGTGCTCAGGGATCAGTACTGGCGGGGGAGGAGAGGGTAAGGGACACCATCTGGTGTGCCAGGGGTTCCGACCTCGTGCAAGGCAAGCACCCTACCCGCTGTGCTATGGCTCCAGTCCCCTCTTTCCCCTCTCAAGAGTACTTCAAAATTCCAGTTATCCACGTCTCTTCTTCCTGGAAGCCCTCCCAGATGCTCTCATCCCAGACTGGCCCACCTTGGTCTTGCCCTGCAGGCTCTTGATAGCAGCCTCTGCGCAGAGATAAAAGGCCCCGATGCACTGCGCCTCCATGCGCGACGAATCGAGCAGGGGCACGAGGCGCTGCAAGTCGTCGGGCCCGCGCCCCTGGCTCGTGTCGCTGGCATCCACCAGGCAGCGGGCGAAGCGGCCTGGGTCGAGCGAAGCCACAAGCGGCTCGACGAGCGCCAGCGTGCCGGAGCGCTCCACCTCGCGCTCCACCTCCTTGTTGGTGGCCAGGACGGCCACGGCGAGGCAGGCGTGCAGCCGCAGAGGCTCGTCCTCCTTGGAGAAGGCGAGCGGGAAGAGCCACTCGGCCGCGCGCTTCTCCACCATGCGCCGCTGCGTGGCCTGGCCGCCGTGCAGCGCACAGTTGGCCAGCGCCAGCGCGCAGTGACGCAGCAGCGCCTGGTCGGTGCGGCGGCACCAGAACAGAATGGCATCCAGGCCACCAGCCACCACCAGCCGCTGGCAGGTCTCCTCCGAGTGCTTGAACATGTGCTCCAAGATGCCCGCCACACTCCGTGCCAGCTCCACCGGCTCTCGCTCCTTCGCCAGGTTCAAGATCACGCCCAGACCAATGCGCGCCACCCGGTCCCTGCCGAGAGGAAACGAGAGTGAGGCCGGGGAACTGTCTTAGCTTGGGTACTGGGCAAGTCCCCTGGGCACCATGGCCTGGCCACATACCTGCTCCGGGCCTCACTTATGTCATAGGGGACATGAGCGTGGCGAGTTTGATCTTCTTTGCCTCACCCGCCTCCTGCCTGGCGGGACCAGATATCTTTGATTTTAAAATGCTCCTTCCTGGCCACTCCCATTTCCTTAGGGCTCTAAGCCGTGTGCCCTAATTCCCGACCAGATTCCCTGGGTCCTGATTTCTTCTCTGCCATTTTCTTTTTCTTTCTTTGGTTTTTGGGCCACACCTGGTGCTCAGAAAATACTTGGGACTCAGTGCTGGGTTGGGGGGGGGGGGGGGAACCATGCCATGCCATGGATTGAACTAGGACCTGGAGCATGCAAAGCATGTGCTCCAACCCACTGAGCTTTCCCGTGCCTCCCTTCCCAGCCATTTTCTAACTTCCTTTATTGTTCAACCTCAACTTCTCAACTTCTTTTATTTATGTGTGTGTGTGTGTGTGTGTGCGTGTGTGTGTGTGTGTAGTAAGATATGTTGTATTGGGAATTATTTATTTATTTATTTATTCGGATTTATGTGAGGGGGGGGGAGAAGTACATGATTGAAAGAACACAGGCTTCTCCAGAGTGGAAATAGATGAGCAAAGAAAAAGACAAGCAGGTCAGATAGGTGTTCAAGGGAGAATACTAGCTTGAAGAATGAGCCTCAATTTCAACTTCTTCATCTCACAAATAGGAGCCAAAGACAACCTATCCCATTGGGTTTTTATGAAAACTCGTGATCTTCCATGAGGAGTGTATAGCACACTGCCTGGCATAGACAAAACTCAGTAGATGTTCATTTTTTTCTTTCTTTCTTTTTTTTTTTTTTTTGCATGAGATAGGATGGGCACACACCTGGCAATGCTCAGGGGTTACTCCTGACTCTTCACTCAGGAATCAATCACTCCTGGAGGTGCTTGGGGGACCATATAAGATGCCTGGGTTCAAACACCTAGGTCAGCTAGGTACAAGGCAAGCACCTTACCCTCCGAGCTATGGCTCAGGACCCAAGAAGACCACTTGTTATTAGCATTTGAAGTGTCACTTGAGTGCACCACTTCAGATGTTTTCCATGCCTTCCCAGGTCTCCTCACTCCAGGAGAGCTACTGGGATACAACTCTCCACTTATTCCACAGATCTTTAATGAGGAAACACTGTGGTTTTGGATATACTCTGTGGGGGCTGAGGTCTAACAGTCAAGAAGAATAAGTGGAGCTGAGACACAGCTAATATGGAGACAATCACAAACAAGATAGAATCATAGGCCATGATGAGGGCAAAAGCAGAGCACGTGATGGAGAGATGTTAGGGATAGGCCTCAGGGGGGAGGCGGCGGGGAGCCAACTGTCCAGAGAAGCTGCCTGCAGCATCTGGGAGGAGAGCATAACAGGCAGAGAGCACCAACAAGGACAACAGCCCAAACGGCTGGAAATATCATAGTGCTGAAAATCAACAAAGAGAAATATCAAAGAAACAAGGGAGTCATATGTAGGACATGTCAGTAAATATTTAGGTCAGTAAGAAAAAAAAAGCAGCGGATCCACTAGATTCAAAAAGCAGAAGACATAAACAGGCAATTTACCAAGAGGAAATCCAAAAGGGTAACAAAGGAGGAATGAGATGGGCTGAGTCATGAGTCATCAGACATGAATCTCAGAACAACAGTCCAGCAGGTAAGATGCTGCCTTGTTGACTCAGGTTCTATCCCCAGCACCACATCTGGCACCCTGGGTCTCACCAGGAGTGATTCCCCGAGCACAGAGCCAGGAGTAAGCCCTAGACATAGCTTTAGATGTAGCCCCAAAACCAAACCAACAAAAACCAAGGTGCCCCCCCCCAAAAAATGAGAGAAAATGAAAATAATAGCCACCACTTAATTTTTTAATTTATTTTATTTTTATAAATCAGTTCACAATATTTGATTACATTTAATATTCAAACACCAATCCCACCATTATTACACCTTCCCACCAACATATTTCAGATGTTTCCATCCCAAACCCCAAACACTGCCCCCAAAGCAGAACTGATATAATTTATTTTATATTGCTTGTTATAAAAAAATCCACTAAAAATGATTCAAAAACAGGTTTCTTAGAAGAAAGTTAACAGCCACCACTTTATACCTAGTGGTTGGGAAAAAAACAAGTTGGACAACACAGGAGATGTGTTGGCAATGGACACTCCGGACACCCCGTGTGTGGGTGCAGGCTGGGGAGCTAATCTGGAGAGCAGATTGAGACAAGTGGATGAAAGAGAGACCCCTCAAATTTGGATAGAGAGTACAGCAGGTAAGGGACTTGTCATGTAGGCAGCTGACCCGGTTTCAATACCAGCCAGCCCAAATGGTACCCTGAGCCCACCAAGATTGATCCCTGGGTACAGAGTCAGGAATAAGGCCTGAGCACCACTGGGTGTTGCCCCAAACCCCCCAAAAAATAAACAACTGTACAACATTATTTATAATTTTAGAATTCCTGGAACACGCGACCGTAAATGCAGTTGTGCGACATCTTGTTCTTAGACAAGGGCTTGATGGCTCCAGGGTAGAATACAACAGTCTTCACATGCTTTCCTCTAAGGAAATTTTCTGGATAATTTTAGTGGATTAACAAGCAATACAAAATAAATTATTTAGATCCTGCTTTGGGGGCAGGGTTTAGGGGTCGGGGTGGAAACATTCGAAATCTGGCGGTGGGTAAGTGTAATGGTGGTGGGATTAGTGTCGTAATATTAAACATAGCAAATTATTGAGAACAATTTTATAAAAATAAAATAAAAATTTAAAAATAAAATAAAACCTGGGGGGGAGAGAGAGCGAGAGAGAGAGAGAGAAGAGAGAGAGAGAGAGAGAGAGAGAGAGAGAGAGAGAGAGAGAGAGAGAGAGAGAAGAGAAGAGAATCCCTGCCCCACAAACCAGAAATTGGGGGCTTTTGGGTTTATATCCCATAGAGAAAGGCACGCAGATCGAGAGGACACAGATAAGGCCACTCATACCAGGAATGTTTGTTGTGAGGAATGATGTTGGGGACAGTCTAGATTCAAGTCTGGGAGAGTGAGAGGTTCTCCAGCTAAGTTCCTAATTGGAGGACTGTGCAGCTGGTGACTGAGCAGATGATACCATAGCAACTTGAAAGATTTTGAGGGTGGGTGGGTTTGGGTCATATTCAGCCATTCTCAGGGACTATTCCTGGCTCTGTGCTCAGGGATGACCCCTGGCAGTGCTTGTGGAACCATATGCTGAGAATTAAACAAGGGTCATCTATATGCAAGATGTGTCTTACTTCCTGTACTCCGTCTCCGACCTGCAATAGGAAGGATTTTAAAAAAGAGGCATGCAAAACATGTGTTCTAGGCATCTCATTCTTCAGTCTTCTACATCTGAATTTGGGGTGTGTCATTCCTCTTTTACTTTATGGAATTCCCTACTTCTCATACTTCCTAAGTAAAAAGATTATACTTTAAAATACAAAAACACTTTTTCCCTCTGGACAGCGGGATGGTGGCCACCTGGGAACTTTTTGGAAAGCCAGGTATGAGCCGGTCGTGACGGGGCAACTGAAACCTCATGGGAAGGGGGGTGTTCCCGGCTCGTCCCTCACACCCTACCGAGGTCACGAGTTGCCCCCCACGAGCGGCTCTCCGGCACGGCCATGGCTCTAGAGCCACAGAAACCAATCTTATAATTATCTGACTCTTGGCAGAAATACTTCCAGGCTTAATAAGTAAAATATCAGAAATCCAAAATTGCGCAGCTGCTATCACGGCCGCGTGACATCATTTGGTTCTTGTAACCAGCTGTAGAAAAATTATTTCACAATGCCTTTTCAGCAGGTCTGATTTTGGGGTGTAAACTCTAAATAATAATGGTGCATCTTTTGTCGAAACAATGAATCTAATCAAAGTAGATAGAGTGTTAACTAGAATTCATCTGCCTCACAGGCATTGGGAGGGTTGGGAGGGGGGGTATATTGGGGTTCTTGGTGGTGAAAAATAAGTACTGGTGAAGGGAAAGGTGTTTGATCATTGCATGACCGAGACTTAAACCTGAAAGCTTTGTAACTTTTCCCACAGTGATTCAATAAATAAATAAATTTTTAAAAAATGATATGTTCAGAGCAACAAAACTCACATTGTAAAAAGAGTCTTAACAGTCCTATAGCAGCATCCTGGGGCACAATAAATTAATTGATTATTAATTTCTTCGAGACTAAAAAAAAATAAAATACAAAAACAGATGACAGCGAGTAGGGCTTTTGCCAGGCACTTGGCTGAACTGAATTTGATCCCCGGCATCCCATGTTTCCCAGCACCACCAGGATTAATTCCTGTATGCAGAGCCAGGAGTAACCCCTGAGCATAGCTGGATGTGATCCAGAAAGCAACAAAACAAAACAACCAAAACAAAACTCATGCACTCCAGCCAAAGTTTTATTTGATGTAATGCTCCTAAGCAGTACTCAGAGAGCCCACTCCTGGCACTTTTTGACTGACCTGGTCAGGCAGTTCCATGTGAGAGCCCAGAATGCAGACCGCACAGGCTACCCTGACAGTGCTCGTGGGCCTTCCAAGGATACACCTGTGATGTTTGTGGGGGACCCTTGGTTTGAACTTGGGGGTCCTGGTGCACAGAAAGCATATGTCCCTGACCACAGCACTGTCTCCAAAATTCCAAAAGTTTCATGTTTTGAACTTGTCTCCTTAATACATCACTGTGTATGCTTGGGAAAACCATTTAACCTCTGTCACCTCAATAAAGTCCCCAGCTGGGGGTGGACTGTGATTTTCGTGCCGGGAGTTAGACAGGGTTGTCACGCAGTATGGGACCAGGCTTGTTGGGCTTCTCCTGGCAGCTTGTTGGGAGTGAGAAAGCCAATGATCTAGAATCCTGAGAAGGGTGGCAAGAATGGGTGCATAGATAGAGAACCTTCTTTCAGAGGGGTTGGTAAGTGGAGGAAGAAAAATATTTCTTGGTGGAGGGGCATGTGGTTTGGGTTTGGGAGCTATTCCCAGTGATGCTCAGGGAATACTCCTAGCTCTGTGCTCAGGGGACCATGTGGTGACAGGAATCAAACCAACTGTATGTAAGTCTATTATATCTCTGACCCCAAGGAAAAAAATTATCTTGTGGTGGGGGAAGTGGTCACACCTAGGGGTGCTCAGAGTTACAATGCTCAGGGATCACTGCTGGAAGTGCTGAGAGGACCTTATGTGGTGTTGGGGGTGGACTAGGAGTTAGCTGTGTGTAAGGCAAGTGCCTTAACCCCTCTGCTTTCTGGCTTTCCCCAAGGAAAGGATTTCTTAAACAGAGATTTAGGGGCTGGAGCGATAGCACAGCAGGTAGGACGTTTGCCTTGCACGTGGCTGACCCGGCATCCTATATGGTCCCCCAAGCACCGCCAGGAGTAATTTCTGACTGCATAAGCCGGGAGTAACCCTTGTGCATCACTGGGTGTGACCCAAGAAAGCAAAAAACAACAAACAAACAAACCAAAAACCCTCCATAGATTTAAAGTCACCCCACCCCTTTTGCTCACATCCTCTTCCCTGTGCTTGAAGGGTAGAGACAGCCCTGGAAAGGGGGGGGGGGCACCCAAAGTACCAGGCTCTGTCCTTGGTCCTGAACAGCAATGGCAGCATCACCACATAGTTTCTTGGGACTAGGTCATAAGAATCTGTAGGTGTGACTCTCTCCACACCTATCGTGAGGGGATTACTATTTTCAGCCTTGAGAAATAGTGACGCTTTTCTGCCTCTTACATCCCTCCTCTTCCTAGGAGCTGAACCCAGCTCCAGTTCTAACTACAGGGTGCCACATATTAGACTTACGGGAAACACCCACCACTCTGGGCCCATCACATCTGTAAGCACCCACTCCATTATTAAGCCCTGCACATGCACAGCCCCTCCCTACCGAAGACCAATGACTTACTGGGCAAACAGATTGCTAATTTGGTCTCCTGCCCTACATTGCTTCATTCACACATATTTGGCAGCTGTCTCATCTCCACAATTCAGTTATTTTTACTTTTTGAAACCAGCAAAGCAAGCACTCTTGAGCCATGACCATGATGCTTGTGAGAGCTGCGTGGACTTCCCCTTCCAAAACCCTTTCCTTTATTTGAGGGGTCTGAGAAACTGGCATAAGCTCAGGTATGACAATTGTCTGCTCTGACATCAGAGGAAAGAAAAAGTGATGGGCTGGGGATGTGGTTCAGCAGTGGATCACTTGCCTTGCAGGTGTGAGGCTCTATACTTGATCCCCAGTATGAAAGAAAGAAAGAAAGAAAGAAAGAAAGAAAGAAAGAAAGAAAGAAAGAAAGAAGAAAGAAAGAGGAAGAAAGAAAAGAAAGAAAAAAGGAAGGAAGGAAGAAGGAAGGAAGGAAGAAGGAAGGAAAGAAAACAAAAAAGAGAAGGGAGAGAAAATGAGAACCCAGAGTCTTTACATTCCTGGTGGAGACCCAGAGAGGTGGGAAAGGGGCCAGAGCGACTACAGTGGGGAAGGTGTTTGCCTTGCATGCAGCCGATACGGGTTCGATCCCCAATATCCCATATGGTCTCCTGAGCATTTCCAGAAGTAATTCCTAAGTGGCAGAGCCAGGAGTAATCACTGCTCAGTGATCACTGGGTGTGACCCCAAAACAAACAACAAGAAGCAAAGAGGTGGGCAAGAGGCAACCAGCCGTAGTTGGATCCCCCATGAAGTATCCTGGCTTGTGTGTGAGGGAAGAATAGAGTACGTATCATTTGGTTCCTTCCTGGCTTTGCACCTGACTCTGGGAGGAGTCAGGTGCAAAGCCAGGAAGTCACCTCTCAGCCACCCAGTCACCCAGGCAGAAAACCTTTTGTTTCCCATTAGGAGCTGCAGAATGAGATCATATTTGGCTGCTGTAAGAACCAAAATGGAGGAAGGAGGGGGTGAAATGGAGGTGGCATGAAAGGGGCAAGGAGCCTTAGGTCAGCATTCATTTCAGTCTGAACAGAGAGGAAACGGAGCGTTCTTTCCCTTGTTTTGTTTTTTTGTTGGGGCCTTCCTAGCAGTGGAAGTTGAAGCACTTCCCAGGGTTTCTTGGCCAAGCAGTGATGAGCCCGACAGATCAGAAATTTGGCTGGAGCCCATATTCTCCCCTGAACACATATTTTGCTTGCTTGTTTGTTTTTCTGTTTGCCTATTTCCACTTTGGAGAAGCCTATGTTTTCTCCCAAACACATATTTCCCCTCTTTCTCTACTCTCGTATCTTTCTTTCTTTTCTTAATTTTTGGGGAGTCACACTGGACAATGCTCAGGGGTTACACCAGAATTATTCCTGGTGGTGCTCCGGGGACCCTAGGGGATGCAGAGGATAGAACGTGGGTAGGCTCTCTGCAAGGCAAACGCCCTACCCACTGTACTGTCTCTCTGGCCCTCTCCTCTTACATCTAAGCAAGTTTCACTCAATAAAGACTAACTCCTTGCTTCACTAAAAACAAAGAACCTTAGTATTGGGAGCCAACAAGGCTATACTAAGAGTTGGGGAGAGGGATTCATGTGGTGGAGATTGAATTCAAGTGGAGAAGGACTTCAGGCATTGCACATACAAGATATGAGCTCACCTCCTGAAATTATCCTCTCTCTGTGAATTAAGTCCCCGTTTTTCTTGGGGGGGGAGGTGCGTGGAGTTGGGATGTGGGAGAGTGGGAGACACACCCAGTGGGGGCTCAGGGCTTACTCCTGGTTGCACTCAGGGTTCTCTCCTGGCCGGGCTCAGGGGCCTATATGAGATGCCAGGAATGGAACCCTGGTTGGCCATGTGCAAAGCAAGCGCCCTACCCACTCCACTATCTTTCTGGCCCCTTCCCCGGTTTCTAAACACCTTTCTTTCTCGGTGAGAGAAAGCAGCATAGAAAAATCCAGGTCTGGGGGGAACTTTGCTGAAGGATGGCAGCAGGACCCTACTTCTGTCCTCAGGACGTCCTGTCCTACTATTTCATTCCCCCTCTCCCTCTCCCATCCTTCGCCCCCCTAGTGAATCCTGTTAAGTCGCTCCGTGACACTGAACGTCACTGAACTTTCCCGAGCCTCAGTTTCCCCATTTGGACAACGGGCACGCCGATTTCCCCTACGGGAGGGCAGCGCAAGGCAGTCGGTACGGCTGGGCAGAGTGGCACAGCACGCCGCACACGGCAGGCCCAGGGTCTCCTCCACCCTTGCCCCACACCACTCGGCGCGCTCCCCTCACCGGCACCCTCACCGGTTCTCAGCCACCAGGATCTGCTCCAGTAGGCGTGCGGCCTGCACGCGCGTCTCCAGCTCCGGCGCCTGCAACAGCCGCAGCAGCAGGTCGAGGCCGCCGTCCAGGCGGATGGCGTCGCACAGACCCTGCGCGACCTCGCGGCCCACGCCCGGCAGCAGCCAGGCCTCCTCCACCAGCTGGAAGACCTCGGCGAGCCCGATGCCCACGGCTTGCGCGCCGCACGCCTGCTTCAGCGCCGACAGCGCCAGCTGCAGCTCCGGCAGCGCGCGTTCCAGGGCGCCGCGCACCTCGGTGCCCACCCCGGGCGACACCTCGCGGGGCCCACGGCCCCCGGCGGCCCACCACGGGCCAGAGCCGCCGCCGCCCCCCGGCGCGGGCACCGCGAGTCTCTCGGCACTGGGCGCTGAGCCCGACATCGCGAAGAAGCGGCACAGCTTGTAGGCGGAGAAGAGCAACGTCAGGACCATGGGCGCGGGGCGGCGGGGGGCATCCCCCGCGCGCAGGGGCGGGGCCCGGCCGGACGACCGGACCGTGGGAAAAGGGGGATTCTAGGACGGACCACCGGGAAGACGCAGGACGCAGGGGTGCAGAGCAAGGTACCAGGCTCTGGGCGAGACGCTGGGAAGGAGGGAGGCCTGGATCTGGGAGGAAGCGTTAGGGAAAGAGGATGCAGACCCAGCTGTGGCGGGCGGAGGGGCGGCGAGCGAAGGGGGCCGGGAGCGAGGACCGGAGGCGAGGGATGCAGCCTGGGTCTAGGAGGAGGTGGAGCCGGAGTCTAGGAGAAAGCGACCAGAACAAAGGGCAGCCCGAGCTCGGGCTCCGCGGGCGGAGGGATGCTCTGAGCAGCCCCGCCCCTGGGAAGAGACTGACCCGGGCCGCGCAGGCTCCTCCCCTGACGCCGGCGTGGCTCCGCCCGCACCCTGGCCCGGTGTCTGACTGCGCGGATACCTAAGTGTTCCCTCCTGAGGGAACATCCTGGTTTTGGGGGTCGCTGGTAGAGGGTTGAGAGGGAGGATCTTCTTGGATTTTGCTGTAGAACTTTAGAATGTGAGGATTGAGTCGGAGAAATAGTATAGAGGCTGGGGTTGGATTCCCATCCCCCCCCCCCCACCTCTCTCCCCCCACCAGTAGTGATCCCATAACCAGGTGTCAGCCCTGAGCACAGCCGGGTGTGGCCCCAAAACAGACAACAAAAAGTGAGTGCAACACCACTGAGTTCATGCTCTGTAACTACTGTTAAAAGCAATATTAACCTCTCTCTCTCTCTCTCTCTCTGCCTCTGTGTGTGGGTGTTTATGTGTGTACACGTCTTCATTTTAGTGCCACACGTGGTGATGCTCAAAGCTTACTCCTGGCTCTGCGTTCAAGAATCACTGCTGGCAGGCTTCAAGGGACCATCTGGGGTGCCAGGAATTGAAACTGGGTGAGGTGCATGCAGGGAGGGCATCTGCCCCTGTACTATCACTCTGGCCTCTGGCTCTTGTTTCTTTCCTCCTCCTCCTCCTCCTCCTCCTCCTCCTCCTCCTCCTCCTCCTCCTCCTCCTCCTCCTCTTCCTCCTCCTTTTTTTTTGTTCTGGGGATCAAACCCATAATGTAACAAATGCAGGGCAAGTGCTCTACCAGTGAGTCACAACCCCAGCTTCTGTATACCTCTTTATTTTTGTGGGGAGTGGGGAGGCAGCACACTGGCTGTGCTCGGGGCAGACTCCTGGCTCTGAGCTCAGAAATCATTTCTGGCCCATTCAGAGGACCTTATAGGATGCTGGGGATCAAACCCGGGTTGGCCGTGTACAAGGCAAGTGCTCTGCGCACTGTCCTATCTCTCTGGCCCAATTTCTGTATACCTCTTAAGGGCCTTGTTATGTCTCCCAGTCACCTCACAACACACCTAGGTGGTAGCCACTAATGTTCTCACTTACCAGCCCAACCCACAGAAACCCTCAGAAAGGAGATGGCCCAAAGTCACACTCCCCTCTGATTCCAGCATAGAGGGCTGTGGAGACTGTGAGGCTACTTCCTCCAGGAGATGGTGGAACTCCTGGAGGTCTGTGAAAAAATGGGGTAGAAAATTAGGCATTTTCTGGATGAAGGGAAGCCAAGTATCACGGAGAGTCAAAGTGTGGGAAAGCAGCCCCCTCATTACCAACGGGGAGGTGGGGGTGAGTACCCGGAGTGACCTTCCAGAAAAGAACCCTGAAATAAAACTTTGTTCTTTTCTGATTCAAACAAAACCCTGAGCCTGGAGTGATAGTACAGCGGGTAGAACCCTTGCCCTGCACGGGGCCAATCTGGCTCGATCCCTGGCATTCCATATAGTCCCCTGAGCCCGCCAGGAATGATCCCTGAGTGCAGAGCCAGAAATAACCCCAGAGCACTGCTGGGAGTAGCCCCAAAACAAGCAAACAGAACAGAAACCTTCCCCAGAGTGCTTGCCATCCCCACCCCCCAGTGTCCTAAACACACACTGAGTGACTTAGCTTCCCAGCTGGGATGTGCCTGATCAAAGAGGTCATCGACCAATATCTTTCCCAGAGAATGAAGTTAGGGCTGCTTCAGGCAGCCCTGTGGCGATTAGAGCTCACGGAATCTCCCAGTGCTGCACAGGGCAGGAAATGTTGGTCTCATTTTACTGAAAAGGGAAAACGAAAGCATCTAGACCATCACCTTCAGACCATCAGGCAGCATGGACCTTCTTCCTGCCCTCCAGACCCACTATACTATCCCTTCCTCGGATGACCCTGTGCTTAGCCAAGCCCCTATCTGCAGCTCTCCCGTGTTCCAGGAATGTGCCAGAGGTTGAGCAAACAGAACAGTAGAAAAGGCCGCTGCACTCTCCTACTTCCCTCCCTCCCAGTCGCCAGCTCTTCCTCCCTTCCTCGGGCATCTGAGCAGAGACTTTGGGAAGGACAGAGCCATCTCCCGGCTCTCAGCTGGAGGGCCCACCATGGTCCCTGCAAGGCCTCTTCTGATGCTGGCCTTGCTGGCAGGGGTTGTCCTGGCTGACCAAGGTTGTGGGGAGCTGTTGGTGAGCCCTGGGGACCCATGCAGGGATTGGCGAGGGTGGCCGGGCTTGGGTGTTCTGATGACACTCCCTTCCTTGTAGAAACATGCAAGGGTCGCTGCATGGAGGGCTTCAACAAGGACAGGAAGTGCCAGTGTGATGAGCTCTGCTCTTACTACCAGAGCTGCTGCACGGACTACTTGGCGGAGTGCAAGCCTCTCGGTGCGTTCCCCAGGGCCTGGGTGGGCCTGGAAGACTCCCCTCTTTGGCTGGAGACTCACCAGCACGCACTCTGTCTGCAGTGACGCGTGGGGATGTATTCACTCGGCCAGAAGATGAATACCATTACTACGACTATGAGACCCGAGACAATGCCAGCAGTACCCACACGCAGCCAGAGAGTGCCAACCCTAAGCCTGAGCGGCCGAGCCAGACTCCAGAGCAGACAATGCCTATTCTGAATCATGAGGTCAAGCCTGAAGTAGCAATTCAGGGGCCTGAGGTATCAGGCCAAAGGCTGGATACCATGCATCAAGGCACTGAAGAGGAGCTGTGCAGTGGCAAGCCCTTTGATGCCTTCACTGACCTCAAGAACGGTTCCCTCTTTGCTTTTCGAGGTGAAGCCAGGGGCAGGTCTGGGGTGGGGTGGGGGGTTGGCCCCAGGAGCATCGCCTTCTTCACTAAGTCTCTCCTACTCTAGGGCCGTACTGCTATGAGCTGGATGAAAAGGCAGTGAGGCCCGGCTACCCGAAGCTCATCCGCGACGTCTGGGGTATTGAGGGCCCCATCGATGCTGCCTTCACCCGTATCAACTGTCAGGGGAAGACCTACCTCTTCAAGGTGCCAGACCCAGGGGTTGGGGGTCAGAGGTGTTGGACCCAAGACCCTAGACCAAAGAAGGCTGAATCCAGCTCGTGGTACCTGCCTGGGGCTCTGTCTGCAGGTCTAGAACCAGAGACAGCTGCCTTCTCACCTCCTCTCCTCCCTCCTTCCCCCTAGGGTAGTCAGTACTGGCGCTTTGAGGATGGTGTCCTGGACCCGGATTACCCCCGTGATATCTCAGAGGGCTTCCATGGCATTCCGGACAACGTGGATGCAGCCTTGGCTCTCCCGGCTCACAGCTACACAGGCCGGGAGAGGGTCTACTTCTTCAAGGGTACTGGGGGTGGAGTGGGTGGGGACAGACAGGACAGCAGAGCTGTTTGCTTTCACACTTCAAAGAAGGAGTTAAGGCGCTTGCCTGGCAAACAGCTGATCTGGGTCCCATTCCCGATACCCGCTATGGTCCTTAAAGAACCAGGAGTGATTCCTGAGCACAGAGCCAGGAGTAAGACCTGGGCATAGCCTGACAAACAAAATATATGAAAAACAATGGGGCAGGCTTCAGATGCTGTCTAGCCCCGTTAAGAGCTCCCAAGTTCCCAAGTCTCTGGGCTTCTCAGCCAGGCTCAGGCCCACCCTGCTGATGGCAGATGTCCACTGCCAGGGAAACAGTACTGGCTGTACGAGTTCCACCAACAGCCCAGCCAGGAGGAGTGTGAAGGCAGCTCCCAGTCGACCGTATTCACGCACTTTGCCACGATCAGGGGGAGCTTGGATGCCATCTTCGACCTTCTCTTCTTTGGCGATACCTCCGGTATGCAGGGTGGGAGAGATTCCCCTAAAGAGAACCTGGGATCCCCACACCCCAGGGAGGCAGAGGGCTGGGCTGATCGAAGGGGGCTGTGGTTGTGGAGCGGCCAATCAAAGCCTGTTTGCTCAGGCCAGACTTTACTTCTGTTGACCTTGGTGGGGTCGCTGCCCCTGACCCTGCCACCCGCAGTTGGACTTTGGCTGTAGAGGGAGGGGCTGTGGCTGTGGCCCCAGGAAGGGCTCTGATGGGGGTGGGGGTGGGGGCAAGTATGGCCAGGGAAAGAGAAAGGAACAGGAGGTAGCAGTGGGTGCTGGGCTCTGCCCTGGCTTCTGGGTTTCACCCTTAAGCCTGCTGGGGGCAGGGCCAGGCCCCCTAAGCCTCCCATTAACCCCCTCCCTGCCACAGGTGGTGCTGGAGAACCACAGCTCATCAGCCAGGGCTGGCGGGGTTTGCCCCAGAAGGTGGATGCGGCCATGGCTGGCCGCATCTACATCTCGGGCTCCGCTCCCCGCACCTCCTGGGCCAAGAAGCCCAAGTGGAGGAAGCGTCGCAACCGGAGACGCTACCGCTCACAGCGCAGCCGCAGCCAGAAAGCCCACCGGCGGTCCCGCTCCATCCTGGGTCAGTCCTTTCTGTCCTGGTTCTCCAGTGAGGAGAGCGACTTGGGAACCTACAACTACAACTACGGGGACTATGATATGGACTGGCTGGTGACTGACACCTGCGAGCCCATCCAGAGCGCCTACTTCTTCTCAGGAGGTGGGGTCCCTGTGGCTCTCCCCAGGGGCGGGTCTTCCAGCTGGGGGTGCTGGGTGTTCACTCCCTTGCCCAGAGACCAGGTCTTCCTTCTCTGAGTATGAATGTGCAGGAAATGACTGCTCTCACCTGCCTTCTCCTGACCTCTCTTCCAGACAAGTACTACCGGGTCAACCTTCGCACGCAGCGAGTAGACACCGTGACCCCTCCCTACCCTCGCTCCATTGCCCAGTACTGGCTGGGCTGCCCAGCTTCTGACCACAAGTAGGAGCACAAGCCCACCCTGCTGGGCCCTCCATCTTCTTCCCAGCCCAATAAAGCAAGCTTGACTTGTGTGTTCAGTCCACTGTCCTCACTGGGGGGCTCTACTGGGGGAGGCAGGGGATGCTGGGATGGGACAGACAAGTGTCTGTGTCCGGCCCATTGTGAGGTGTGAGGGCCTCATCCATCAACCCTCCTCTGGTGTTAAGCAGCATCTGATGAATGGTCAGCAGCTAAGAGGAACATGAACTGTGAGAGGATGTCAGGAATTGACAAGCCACTGGCCCAGTCCAGGCTTGCTTCGCCTCATAGGAGCTGACTAGGTTTATTTATTTATTTGGCGGGGGAGGGGGGGTGTAGGGGGAGAGTGGAGGGCATACCTGGCTGTGCTCAGGGCTTACTCATGACTCTACACTCAGGGATCACTCCTTACGGGGCTCTGGGGACTATTTAGGGGGCCAGGGATTGAATCCAGTCAGCTGCAGCCACGTGCAAGGCAAACGCCCTACCCATTGTATCTCTTCTCCCTGTAATTCCCCCTCCCCATGTGGTGCTAGGCCTCTGGCATGTGAAGCATGCACTCCAACCCATTGAGTCATCTCTGGCCCTGATTTTTTTTTTTAATTTTAGCTGGGGAGGTGGACTCTCAAGCAATGCACAGGGGACTGGGCTCACTTCCAAGTGATATTCAGTCCAACTCTGTAGTCCAGATAGTGTGGCACATGAGTTCAGTGATGTGGTCCTGCTCCAACTCAGTGGTGCCAGAGGCCACCAGAACTGCCCCAGCAATAATCAGGGGCCCTAGTGGTGTCTGGTATTGAATTTGGTGCTGGGTGCATGTGCATACTCAAACCCTTTGAGCTCTGTGCCATGCCTAGGGTCTTGGAGGAGAGATTAGGAGGTGGTGGGTTCCAGTTCCGGTTCTGGCTTGGCTCTTTTCTTCCTGTGCCTGAAAGGTGGTTAACTCAGATACCCAGATTCCTGGGGGAATGGTCACTGTGCTCCCCCAAACCCACCCCTAGGATAGGCCTTTCTTCACAGTATCTGTCTGGGCCTGGGGTGGGGAGCACTGAGGTTATAAGAGAGAGAAAAAGGAGGCAGGAAATCCCAGTGCAACCACTTCCACAGGTAGTGACCCAGAAGCATGCCATGGCTGAGAAGCAAACAGAGGAACCTCCTCTGGAGTCAGGTTCCTGGGCACCAGGAAGCCCATCGGGCTCTTGGAGGGGGTTGCGCAGGGCAATTGTGTCAGAGATGGGTAAAGCTCCAAAGCCACCCAGGGAGCATTTGTGCCCCACTCTGCTGAGGAAGGGCAGCCCCAGCCCCAGCCCTGCTCCCTGCAGTTCCCTCCTCTGAAGCACTGGCCATCCAGTTAGGGGGGTCCTGGCTTTCTGAAAGGAGCCCTTGGAGGAATGTCTTAAAGTGCAGATTTTAGGCAGGTGCCAGAAGCTGCAGCTGCAGGATGAGGTTTCCTTTGCGAAGGTTTGGAAGCACTGGGGTCACCAATCTTATACCCCACCCCTACCCCCACAACCCTCAATGCTGTTCCTGGTCTCCGCTCTGTCTGCCTCGAGTACTCAGAAAAGACCTTAAGAGGCCAGAGGTGGTGCAGCAGGGAAGGCATTTGCTTGCATGTGTCTGACCCGGGTTTGATCTCTAGCACTGCAAATGGTCCCCCGAGCCCACCTGGAGTGATCCCTGAGCACAGAGCAGGATAAACCCTGAGCATTGCCGGTGTGGCCCAAAGTCAAAACAATTTTATTTTTTAAAAAAGAAACTTAAGCCTTCCCATCCTGGAGGCGGAGCCAGAGACAAATGGAATAAAGCCCCGCCTGGAGGGTTTGGTGTGGACAGAGCCAGCTTGGCCTCTGCTCCTCACCCTGCAGCTCCATGGCCAGCCCTGGAAAGATGCCTCCAGCAGGTGATGGCTGGGGAAGGTGTGATGGGAAGGGTGGAGGGTGTGGGGAGTAGGGGTGGGGGGTGGTTGGGGATTTTAAGGCTGAGGGAGTTTGGTTTAACACCCCTACCACCCAGCAACCCCCCTCCTTACATACACACACAGGCCGTGCCCATGGCCTGGGTGCCCGCAGGAGGAAGAGGACCACATTCAGTCAAGGGCAGCTACTGGAGTTGGAACAGGCATTTGCAGTACGGCCCTACCCTGATATTGGCACCCGGGAGCATCTGGCCCAGGTCACCTGTCTTCCAGAGGCCAAAATACAGGTGATGTGTGATCCTATTTAAACAGTCAACCTTCGGGGCCCACCCAGTTTCTTCTCTGTGAATCCAGCTTCCTGGGCCTGGTTTCCTTACACCTAGGGACGGGGGTGGATGGCTGGGAACTAGCAGGTTCCTTCTTTCCTCCCCAGGTTTGGTTCCAGAACCGGAGGGCCAAGAAAATCAAGACTAGAAAGGCAGGAGGCCCGAGCCCCCAGCCTGAGGATGAGAGATCCCCTTCTCTTCCTGATCCCCTTCAGCAGTCCCGGGCCCCAGGCCAGCCTCTGCCCTCGGCCAGCACACCAGCGGGTCAGCACAGCTGCAGTCCAGCAGCTTGTCCAGGGCAGGGCTGGGCAGGGGCTACGGTGGCTGTAGCGTGGGATCCTGCCAGGGCTACAGGGGTCCACCTCCCTTCCGAGCGCCCTCCTCCCCAGACCTCACTGGGCAGCTTATCGGATCTCCTTCACGCCTCAGCCATCGTCTCCAGCATGCACCATTCCTAATGCCAGACCCCTCCCCCACTCCTATAGCCCCCTCTAGACTGCACTGCCATCAGCGCACCCCCTGCCTCCTCCTTTACACAAAGGCATTCTCTGCAGAGTCAGGTGCTCTCTGGGAAGAGAGTCTATCTCTTGGGTCCCTCCCTACAATGTCTTCTGGGTTTGGATCTCCCTCCCCCGCCCAGTACTCTGCCCCTCTGAGATGAGTTTCTACCAGAATATATTCAGAGACACAAGCTGTGCTCTCCATTCTGCCACCTAGACTGTATTCCTCTCCATCCTCTAAAGAATGGGCAGCCAGCCCTCACCCTGGGCCCTTCAGACCATTACTATCTGAACTTTGAGAACAAAGCCCCAAGTTCTGGTCCCAGGGACAAGCCACATGTGATTCAGGACTGCCTGGATCAGTCAGTCATTAACCGTGGATCTGAAGAAGTGACAGGAAAGTAATCACGAGAAACAGGAGCCCAGAGCGTCCATCAACTTCCTTTTTATGAAGATCAGATTGGCTACCTTGTAATCTAAAGCTGAAGAGACAACCTGACAGATTTAGAATGGGGTGAGAGCTGGGGGTGGGGAGGTGAGGTTTTGGTAATGCCAACTAATCTCTAATCTCCAAATAAAACCCAGACTCTCACCTTAATCTGGATTGTTGTGTGCTAGAGATGAGTGGGATGGGGATAAGGGCAGTTGGTTTTTGAAATCTCTATCCCTCAATCCTTAAATAAGGCCAGGTTCCACAAAGCTTCTCGATGGGGGTGACTGCCCAGGCCACTACTGGGATTAGCTGTAAGGACAGTGAATCAAAGGGTTTAGGGCCCTGATGACAGACCTGGGAGATGGCACTTCTCCTGCTCCTGCTGCCACTCTGGGAGCTGTCCTGATGTAGAGAAGTATGGGGTGAGTTCCTGGGCACGCGGCACTCCGCCATGTACTCTCTGAAAGCCTGTGAGCCTGGAAAATGGGGCCGAGAATACTTGTCTTCTCTCCCCTAGAGGACTGAGACTAATGCAGAGGTCGGGGTCCGCATGGTGCCTGACACTCTACATGCCAGAGAAACTCAGCCAGGGCCTGGTTTCCAATGAAGTATTCTGCCTCCTTCCTGAGGAACCCTGGACAGGTACTGCACTGCAGAAGGCCTCATACAGGGAAATAGAAGGGGCAGGGAGAAGACAGTGCTACAATAGGACTCCCAATTCCTACTTGTAACTGACCTTGAAGATGGATACCACCCTGCACAGTGGCCAAGTCGTTGGTAGGAACTGGTCTCCTACCTCTACCCCCACAAGCTAGCAGTGTTGGCTCTTAAAGTTCTAAGTGCTCAGCTACACTGTTGCTAAAAGGTAGAGCACTTATCTTTCATGTTTTTGGTGATGGTGTTGTTTCCTGGCTCTGTGCTAAGGGATCACTCCTGATAGGGCTCAGCGGACCAGATAGGATACAGCAAACTGGATGTATGCACCAATCCAAATTGGGTGCCTGCGAGGCAAGTCCCTTTCAATCCTGACCTACCCTGTTGGCTTCTACTCTTAGAAATTATATATTGGTCGGCTTTATAGACATTTCATTTATAGTATTACCAATTTGTTGTTTTTGATACTCAGAGTTTACTCCTGGCTCTGTGCTCAGGGGTCACTCAGCGGTGCTTGGGAACCATACGCAGTGCCTTAACCTTTATAGTGTCTGGACCTGTTTGCTTCTGAGTAGGGTACTAGGAGCAGATAAGGAGTCCACTCTAACAATGCTGGGGTGTCTGTGGAATGAACCCCACCTTTCCACATGATGCTCTGGGTCAACAACTGTTTGAAAAGATCTGCTCTACCTGAAAAGGTCAGTCTAGAAGTCTAGGGTTCAATCCCTATCACTGCACGGTCCTAGAAACACTGCTGGAAGCAACGTGCGCAGAGCCAGAAGTAGCCCTGAGCTCTGCCAGGTGTGGCCCCCAAACAAAAACAAACTGGAAATCTTCCATCATAAATTCAGATTTGTGGGGGATGTGAGTTCGAGGTTTTATGACACTTACCTGACCCCTCCATGTAGGCTCAGTTAAGTGTAGACATATAAGCACAAAGGTTTGCTGTAACTTTTTTTTTGTGGGCCACACCTGGTGACGCTCAGGGCTTAACCTTGGCTCTGCACTGAGGGATCACTCCTGGTGGGGCTCAGGGGACCATATGTGCTGGGGATCAAAACCAGGACAAATGCATGCAAGGCAAGTGCCCTACTCAATCTACTACGGCTGTAGGAAGGTAGCTTAAAGGGCTATAGTGCAGCCTTTCATGTTCGAGGCCTCGCATTTGATGCCAAGCACTGAACCCAGGGGCCTTGATGCCAAGCACTGATGGGAATGGCCCCTGGACAACCTGAGCATTGATTGCTTGGGAGGCCGATGGCAAAAACAAATAAACAAAAACAAAACAACTCCTCTGAGAATCTCAGATTGTTATGGCAAGAAATTGGCAAATACTTGGGCCTGAGAGTTGAAAGGTTAAGGCACTACATTTCCCCCAAGCACTGCCATGAGTTATTCCTGAACAAAGAACCAGGAGTAAGCCCTGGTTTACTCCTAAACACATAACCCCTGACTCTGTGCTCAGGGATCACTCCTGGTAGGGTTCAGGGGACTATATGCAGTTCTGGGGATTGAAACAAGGTTAGTCATGTGCAAAGTAAGCACCGTACCTGCTAGCTTCTGGATATATAATTTCTAAAAGAACAGAAGAGTTCCCAGAGAGAGGTGAAGCCCACAGTAATTCATATAGGGAACAAAAAGAAAGATGCAGTCAACCATTGGGAGCAGAACATTGGGAGCAGGACTATATCTGTTCTCAGAACCATGCAAATAAAGATTTATACTGTCAGAGACTTGAAGAAAAGACATAATAAATATTTATTGGATAAATAACTGTAATCATTTTTAAGTGCTTTATACAGATTCAATCACACCACCACGCAAAGAGGTTTAACAATACAGATCTCAGGGTCACTGAAAAATCTGGCTCCATTTAACAAAAAGGGCTCATGGCGGGTCATTTGATGCCTCTCATCTTGTTTGTCCTCTAGAAAAGGGGCCTAAGAAACATTTCCTTTTCCAATCTCCCACTGTTGGAAGGACAACAATTGTAAAACAAGTAAGCCAAGTGTGAATATCTCATACTGTTTTCGCACTTAAGCAAACATGTTTAAGGACCCACATGAAATAAATGCATTAGGTTTACATACAACATATGTATACACATGCTATGCATGCTTACGTGTATGCTTGGTTATGACCATGTAGGATACATGATGTTATTAAAAGTGAAAACGATCCCTGTGTATTACGAATGTCTCCCTTATTGAGGCAATCTACAGTAAGCATCCCCCCCCCCAACAAATACAAATAAGCACAAAGAAATCTGCAACTCAAAACAAAACATACTGTTCTGTCATCTAAATTGTTTTCACTTCTGGAGGTAGAATAAAAGGTAACAAAAAGATAAAAAGTTTAGACTGGTGGGTGGTAGAGGCAAAAGCAAATACAAGGAAAAAAAGGCAAGCAGATGGGTAAGGATAAAGATAGAAACGATTCCAAAAATGTAGCTGCCCTGCTTTGAATTCTAACAGTCTGCACGGACCCATCTTTTCCTTGTTTGATGTCTTCTGATTAGTCACCTTCCTGACACCGATTGGAGAAATGGAAGTCTTTCTTGGAGGCTTCTGATCAGGTCCACAGCAAAGATGTGTGTGGTGTGGGTTACAACCAATTTCTGAACTTGAGCAAGTTGAAGTAGGGTCAACTTTGGGAAGGTTTGGCTCTATTTCCTGATGGTAAAAATCAGCCCCAGAAGGGACCAGAATGGGCCAGAGAGAGCAGATACCGTGTTCAGGTAAGGTCCTGATGGTCTAGTTCTTTTCCATGGTTGGGAGTCCCCTCCCAGGTCCACCAGAAGTTACAGAGGGCTGCAGGTGGTCTCTGGTCAGCCTCTGAGAAACTAAAGCTCAGTAGTGAGAAATGGTGGGTTGACTGAGGGCCCAGTGGGTGCAGCAGAGAGCCGGGAGGCTCCCGAAACTTTTCCAGATTTTATGAAGCACCAGTCACAGCTCTCCCAATTCACCTTCCATTGTCCGTACCATAACATACAGCTCCGCGAGGCCCACCACAGAGGCGACGATCAATGCAGCCAGTATTTGCTGGGGATGGGAAGAAGCATGTTTAGGCGATGTTGAAGGCCAGCATTCAGCACCTCTTATGAAAATGGAGATGCTCCAATCCAGTTTAGAAATGTGTGGGGGTAGAGAAGATCTGGATTTTAGGCTCCCCCCCACCCCCCGTGAAGCTGAGGATTGATCCCAAGGCCTCAGACATTTGAGGCAAGTGGTCTCCATTGGTCCACAAGAGCCTAGATTTTTTCCCCCTACTTTTGATCTTCTCGCCACACCTGGTGGTGCTTGGGAGCTGCTCCCAGTGCTCAGAGACCCATGCAGTGCTAAGGATTAATCCTGGGCTCACATATGCTGTCTCTGGATGGATCTGGATTTCTTTCCCTTTTTCTTATTTTGGGCCACAGCCAGTGGGGCTCAGGGATTGCTCCTGATTCTTAAGAGGACTATGGGGTGTTGGGAATATAACATGGGCCTCCTGTATATAACACATGTGCTCAACTCTGAAATCTCTCTCCAGCCCCTCACCTGGATGATTTTAAGGCTATGATCCACCTCACAGCTGCAAGCTCAAATACTCTTCTCGTAAATACCTAACATGTTGAAAATCTGTGTAAGGCATTTTCACATATGTCCATCCTTTCCAACTAGCACCCACTCTGGAGTGTCCTGCCCTGCCCCGGGCCTACTTACCGAGGCCATTTCTGTGAAGACATACTGGCTTCCAAGGTAAGTGCAGACGAAGGCAGCTGCCACCGTGACAATGAAATTGAAGATGGTGATGACCAGAGCTTTTACAGACCTCACTTTGGGGAGAAGACCAGGAAAGAAATCTTTAGGTCAGCATTTCTTGTCAGCCC